TAAACAAGACATTGTTGATCCAGTTTTGCCCTGCTGTGTTCCCATGTACGGCGATCAACGACAGTTAAAACAACAGCCTGTCTGTCCAGATAGATAACATCATTAAACGCGCTCGGCAGGTAGAGCGGCCTGGCGATATTGACGCTGATTCAGTTGGTTATACTCTTTAGGCTGTATTTCAACATATCGTTCACAGGGTTCCCTAGAGTATCACCGTCTTCATAAGCTCAGTATGAGTAGAACGTTAAACCCCATTTCATTTCATTTCATTTCATTTCTCTAGAGGGTTTTTTTTTGAAAAAAAAGAAAAGAAATAGCCTGCCTAGAGAGATACTATCCCTCTGACCTCCAACAACAAGATAATATGTTACTATTTGAATTTCCCAAATGAGAAGTGGTATCTAGTATTCTAGGAAAATAATTACATGTATTAAAATTACTATTTCATCGTCAATCTAAAACATAAAACAAAGTTTACCCAATTAATTTCTTCTAATATTTAGACTCAGCTATACCATATATTGCGATACACTTGTCAATATATTGACAGAGGTCAATATAATACACAGGGCCTTTTATACTGAGCTCAAATACGCTATACTCAACGGGGCGGGTGGGGGAATGGCCGAATGGTTAGCACGTGCGCGTTGTATCATAAGATCTGTCATTGAGTCAGCTGTCGGGGTTTCGATTTCCCGGTTGTACGTTGCAAGGAGCAGGGTTGCCTGTCCAACCTCTTGGGTTTTCTGCAGGTCCTCCGGTTTCCTCCCACTGCTAAAAACCCCTATGAGCAAACAAATTATTGAAATAAAATTGAACCATATGTTAGTCCTGAAATGACCTAGTTTGTGTCGAGTGGACGTTAAACTCTCTCTTTCTCTCTCTCTCTCTCTCTTGATAAAGTCTAATCCATGCAATTAGTCACATTGTAATAGTGTTGAATGGACTTTAGCCCCCCCCCCCCCTAAAAAACACACACACACTCTGTCACTCTCCCTGTCTCTCTCCTCCAAATCGGTATGCCAAGGAAGGTAATCCAATATTTGAGGGTGGTTTCTTTGTTTTTCACTTTAGCTGATAGGTTTAAGCCAGAACGCTTCTTATGTTGCGTGGCAAGGGAGACTAATCTAATTTATTGGTTGATGCTTTGTCCTTTTATTTCTGTGACCTAAAGTATTAAAATTATGTTAAAACATTACGTTTCAGTATTTTATCATTGCCAAATTTATTGACATTTATTACTTAAATCGAAATTAAAGGGACCAAGCCCTGATACCTCTGTATCAGTAATACCCGCAGTTTTAGCTGTCTAAATTCTTTAGCATTTGATTTTGAAAACATTTTCTTTTACCTAAATTCATCTAAAATTCAAACATTATTAACATTACGTTAACACACATTACGTTTGAGTGTCTTATAAATGTCAAGCCTAAATTTAAACGCCTTCCAACCCCTTTAATATCAAAGTATAGATGATAAACTTTAAAAGCCCCTGATCATCATTTGCTTTTTACTGGCATTTAAGTTTTCACATCATAATCCATTCTAAAATGTACTCAGACTGATTATTTCAATATTTAATTAAGAGCATAAAATCCAAACATCTACTGTAGATAAACTGAATTGAGGTGAATCCCTTCCAAAGACCTACATTTACATTACTAGACACAATAAAAGACAGCCGAAAACAAATGTGAACGGGCGGATTGGGGCGACTACTTAATAGGTCCACGTGTGGGCGTATATAAATAAATAAAATTATTTGATATTTTTGTTCATTGTTTATTTTTTCAAAATCTTTTAGTTGCCGACTAGCACGCTATTCCTTACACCCACTCCTTAATCAAACTATCGATGGAGTCTTTGGGGATTATATTAAATAACCTGGCACAATATGAATATTATCTGACCTTAATTAGTCAAATTGGTATTCAAATGATAAGAAATAACGCGTTTCAATTTCTTTTTTAATAGGGAAAAGATTTTAATTTTCTATGGATTCTGATGGGTGGGTTTTCTATTAATCCTCCAGATTGTGAGATATTCTGATAAATTGAAAACGTGATCATTATTTATATCAGCGGCTTTAAACATAAAAATATCTACTGAACACCAAGCTGTGCTGTTGGAGCAATAACAACGTTACGAATCTGTCTAAAACCAGCCCTCAAAGCGTCATCTTTGTTACACCCAGCATCATCTCGAAATTCGGTTCCTTTTTGGGATACTAAACCGTTATCATCTATGCCCATGAACTAAAACAAAGGATATGATTGGAATGCCTTCAAGGTTCCATAGAGCCGGGTATGGAACAATGTATAGTCCTTCGGATTTTACATACAACCATGGTGAAATGTACACATTGGCCTGCACGTAAAAGAACCCTTGAGAGACGGAATTCGAAATAAGAGTAGGCCGCGTAACACCGCTGTCCGTGCAAAATTTCCCTCATAGCAGAGCGCATGGCGTAAGCCCGTCTTCATTAACCCAGTCGGGGCAGAAAAGTATGACGTTAAACCACATTTCATATCATTTGACAACAATTTTATGGGTTTAAATAAAACTTTAGATAGATGGACGCCATTACAATTATTATTACAAACGATCACTTCCTACATAAACAAATTCTCCTAAAGATGCATCATGTAAGATTTAGATAAAGCGCCGCAGTTTTCACAATAATATTTTAAAAATATATAATGTAAAAGGAATATATGCATATAATATATTGAAAATTTCAGATACATTACTCTATTCTTTATGGAGGTTGGATGCTTTGTTACGGTAAATTACTTCAATGACATTTTAGTAATTGAATTGTAACACACACGTAACAATTCCATGGAATACAATTACCTCTTATTACTGAGTGACGTTTCGACTAGGCTATACTAGACTTTATCAAACAATGATAATGTTCGCTACATCTATGACCGCCTAGGTCTATATGACCCACACGAAAGCTTTAAATTCAGGGATTTAAGATATTTCAAGATATTTTGGACAACCGAGTCTAAACTATAGGCTGCGTATCATTATTATTATTATTATTGTTCGATTTATATAGCGCTTCATTATAATGTTCATTACACATGAGTGTTTCTAAGCGCATTCACAACAAAACAGATCAAATACTTTTTTGAAATAAATATGTTTTTAAGTTAGTCTTAAAGCTCTGGATGGAAGAGGACTACTCTCGAAGTGTTTTTGGAAGATCATTCCACATTTTAGCTGCTCTGACGGAGAAAGCATATTCACCAGAACGTTTATTATATTTAGGAAACCTCAATATGCTACGATCACTTGAAGAACGAAGGTTGGATATCCCTTATGAAACGCATATTCTTGAAAGTAGGTCGATTTATTTCGTTATAAATATCCCCTTCTAGACGTAAAAATATTTAAGCTTGTAGATACGCATAATATTAAAAGTGGGCCTTTATGTCCATAATGATGGAGGCTATAAATCGGGTTGCCGTTTACGTCCTTATCGGCTATGTAGTTTTCTATAGTCTCGTGTGTCATGCACCAACCCTCAAAAGTGAAAACTCACCCTGAAAAAGCAACGGCTCTTTTCTGCCCACGCCAGCAATCGTAAATTAGTCTCAAAATGACCTCAGTGAAACTAAATGCCACCCTATTCTTTCATGAACATATTGGAAACATAATTACATGTATTTACATTGATATACAATCTTCGTCGAGTTTAGAATAACCAGAGAAAACTATACATCCATTTGTTTTTATTAACCACTTGATTATCATAATTATACGATATTCTATACAACTGATGGGGAAGCTAAAATTTGCTTAATCGAAATACTGACGAATTGTCCCGTGTGACAAGGGTCGAGACAACTGTCACAGTTAATAACCTTTTTAGTGCATACCACTTTAAAAGAATGAGTTTAAATCAAACGAATTATGTGTGGAATTACCCCCAACGTAAGTTTAAGCTAATAAGTGATAAATAACTTCTATCGTCCGATTAATATTTACTTCCATATTCATATTATGTACATTAACCCCGGTCTGTTATTTTACTATATAATAAAGAAAGATACGAATCTTTTTGAAGGTCCTTTCATTTATCTTTGTAATACCAATACCAATCAGTACATTGTAAAACCCAACTTATAACTATCTAAAAAAATTAATGTTAGTGTTCATAAGACAACCCCCACACCCCCCACACACCCCTTACACACTATTTAAATATGTCCGCGAACCCAATAACCATCACATTAAATATCATAAAGACGTGTATTACATACGCCACCTCAATCTCATGGAAAAGTTACAGTTTGTAAAATCTTCTTGTTGCAAGCATGTATTAACCTTGGGATATTGAAACTTTTTCTAAGTTTTATTCAGAAATATAGATGTAGGTGTAAATGGACACCCGTTAGCCAACTTGTTACATTAAATCTTAAACTTCACATTGTTTTAGGATCCGCATTATTTGAACTATTTATAAAGCATTTCAGTAGTGTGCGTGCGTGTGTTTCTAGACCATGCCGCCCTTACCAAGAGAAAACAAATCCCAGTTCGGAGTAGTGATGTTTTCCCATTTGATTTATTACACGTTTGCAAGCAGCAGTACAAATCAAATAATCCATTTTTAATCACGGTACATACATAATCCATTGTGTTAACTATGATCTGGATTAGATTACATTCATCAGTGGCATTACTCAAAGTACACAGAAACATGGGTCTTAAAACATTGAAGTGTTTTCTTCACTACTTCAGTGGTATATACTATTACATTTAAAATATACTCATCTTTAAACTGTCCATGAACACTCGCGTGGAAATGATTGGCTTAGTACATAAAGGGATATATAATATATTGTTTGTCTTGGCTGAGAAACTCCTTTATTGCCTACGGACGATTGATGGAAAACAAGTGCAGCCGAGAAATTGAATTATATTATATTAAATACATTATGAATATATAACGGGACTGTTATTGACATACCTGTGAATTGAAATGGACTCGTCCTCACCTGTAAGGACCCCTTTATATGAGAAAGGAGTCCGGTTTTCTTTTTTATACTCAAATAAATCTGGATGAATAAGTATTAGTAGTTATTCTGTTATATTTTGACAATTGGTGTATTAGAAGTTTAAATATTTGCTTGAGCTCAAAAGTTATATTACCAAGTTTCGTTTTTCCGTTATGCCCAGATGCCACCAACACTGTCCCTGACATCGCTCCACAATATTCCACAGGGACAAGAAGGTCCAAATTGTTGTCAAACTTTCATAATGGAAGAAATGGACGATTTAAGAAAACCAGCTTTCTGGAAAGCTGTAATAGGTGAATTTCTTGGCTGTCTGTTTTTGATATTTTTTACCGTTGGTGCAGGACTACACGAAGAAGGAACACGGGGACATGGCACAGTGCATATAGCGCTTTCTTCTGGGTTTTTTATCGCCGTTATTGTGACCGTGTTGTTGACTATTAGTGGTGGTCATATAAATCCAGCTGTTAGTATTGGTAAGTAGACTTTATCAAGTATATTTGGCTGCACGCTTTTCACATTGGTTTCTGACATCAATGGAGACAGGGTGTAGGTCGCAAGATAGGGAATGCTTAATATTTTTCTAGAAAACGTTATACCACTAGGTGTTTTATGAAAAGTTTTTGTATTACTTTTATTATAATAGATGCACAAGTCAATATCGCACCTGCTAAGGGGCAACACGCCAAACTGAGATGTCATTTTATTTCTCTTTCAAACTGCACAATAATCTATTGAATGTTATTGTGGATTCAGAAGTATGTTACAAACTGCCTCGGGTAGACAGTACAGTCTTTCTTATAAATATTTACGAATTTTATTAATATGGAAGTAGTTAACAAATATTTATTATGTCTGCTGCTGTGATTTTAGATTTCTAGATATATAAACACGTGGTAAGCTCTTGGGACACCTCTGCCCTCCTCTAGATTGGATAGAAATTAATGAGTGCAGGTTGCAACAGATTATAAGATGTATGTGATCATATGACCTTTATCTTTATACCTAATGCTAATATAGACCCTTCCAGTGACATTAAAACTAATATATAGATTGAGAAATTTATTAGCATTGATCATGCATCATACATATAAATACACAAAACAGATATGAAAATACTCAAGTACCATTCAGTATAATAATATTTCTGTATTTATAAAACATCAGTTGACATTAATTGCTTGTAGTGATTCAGAGAAAGCAAACATTATGTAATCTTTTGTCTATTTATGGGAAGGACTTATTGTCATGTATAGCCACGTTTTAATAATTATCCAATTGTATATAAATATTCAATAGAAGAGTTTTCATACCGCGCAAGTTGATCTTTAAGTTCTTGAACTCCCCTCCCCCATCCCCCTCGCGCACTTTTCATTTCTTCTAATTTTATCAATACATCTGCATTGATCATGCATCATACATATAAATACACAATAATAGATATGAAAATACTCAAGTACCATTCAGTAAAGTAATGTTTCTGTATTTATAAAACATCAGTTGACATTTGCTTGTAGTGATTCAGAGAAAGCAAACATTATGTAATATTTTGTCTATTTATAGGAAGGACTTATTGTCATGTATAGCCACGTTTCAATAATTATCCGATTGCATATAAATGTTTAACTGAAGAGTTTTCATACCGCGCAAGTTGATCTTCAAGTTGTTGAACTATCCCTCCCCCATCCCCCTCACGCACTTTTCATTTCTTTTAATTTTATCAATACATCTGTAAATGTTAACGTGGAGATCATTGCTGAATGTAATCCATCAGAGAGCAAACAGTCTCGTTTACTGTTGGCTCTGGGTCCAATTAGTGCTGGGTATTGCCACTGCAGTCACCATAGTCACCATACGATACGTATTGCTATTCAGGTGCTACAAATACGATTTGTATCACGGTTCATAATCAGGTCAATATTTACCAGGAAAACAAAGGGATAAATGAATAATTGATATTTTTTTAGTTATTTAGATATTAATAAAATCGCGATACATCGATTCAACGATATATCTTGCCGATTCAACCACATATCGTACTTTCACTACTTGACTTGACTCATTCCAAATGAGTCCAACTGAAGATGATGCTTAAAATTCTACCCAAGTATTTATGTCATATACTTGTTAAAACCACTTCTTATTACGTCTAGGGTTTCTTCAAAACCATTTTTCCAGGTTTCCTGTGCTAGATGTGTTGGGGTAATGCTAGACCTAAAACATATCCCACATCACAACGACCATCCATTAATATCAATCATAAAATTTGGAAGTCATTTATTGGATTTTAATCGGAGCCAAAATGATGCTAATATGCTAGAGGTTAATGTCCACTTCCTTCGACCGATACAGTAATAAAACACATGGTTTAAGACAAAGAATGTCTCTGTGGGGTCAAATGATAAATGCCGTGTTAATTACAAGAAAATTAAAATGATTGAGTAAGACTAAGAAATATTTGATGATTTCTTTTCAAGCAGGTCACAAGTCTAGAATGTCAGCTTAAACTTTTGCGTACTGATATGGATGACCTTTTAAACGGTCTTTATGTGAATTTCCGTTTTAAAATGCATGTATAAATAGTTTTGAATAGATTTTATATTTTATTCAGTAGAGGAACCTTTTAATATTCATTGTAACTTTAGAATAAATTTTGTTAGAATGTGGTATAAATGAAGTATATTTTATTTTGTATTCATAAAACGAACTTCGAACTTATTAATATTCACATAAAGATTTTAATTTGACATAAGCTGACGCACACCTTTGCCTTTAAATTATGTATATAGTATTTAAAGCTTGGTAGTCAAACAAATTTATGTAAATTTACTTTCTTAATCGTACCCCATAAAAAATGAATAATGTTGAACAAAACTGGGCTGTTTTTGCCTATAGCCACGGAAAATGGAACTCCCAATAGCGAGTGGGTTTTCACAATTTGAAAGAAATATGAACCGATGTCACTCAATCGCCAAATTTGTCTATGAAAATGTGAATAAATTAAGATAACTGAATCTATAGATTAAATCAAGTATGTTTATAGTTCATAGATTATATCTGTTCAATTTTAAAACTGCTATCAAGATCTATGGTTCGTGAAACCATTGTTATGCAGTGAGTAAGGCGCTGGCCAACTAATCAGGAAATCCCAAGTTCGATCCTGATTTTGGCTGAGAAAGTCCTTAGAGATTTTATGTCGTGATTTCCTTCGTCCGTGATGGAGAATGGGACACCTGATAAGGAACTTTGAAGTGTCCGTTAAAAAGCGTGACATTTGGAATTCAATGAGGAGTAGGCGGAAACGCCGCTCTGTCCCGGCAAGATTTCTCCCATAAGCATATCCACTGCATTGAGTACGACCATCTCCGTTAGGCCGGTTGGTGCAGAAGAATACGACGTTACACCCCATTTCATTTCCTGGTTAATGATATTATCAGTGTATAAAATAGTGAATTTATCTCGTGTAATTAACCGAGTAATTTGTCCTGTGTTATTTTAAATACGGTCCCATTTAATCTCATAATCCTTAATTTTCAGGATTTGCGGTCAACAGAGAGATCAGCTTTGTCCGATTTATATTTTATTGTATTGCTCAAACCGGTGGTTCTGTAGCAGGGGCTGCCTTATTAAAAGCCATTACACCCGAATCCAAGGTTGGTAATCTGGGCATTTTATTGCCGGAGCCGAACGTCACTACAGAACAAGCCCTTTATTCAGAAATCGTCATCACCTTCTTCTTACTATTTAGTGTATTTGCTATGATAGATAAAGACAGAAAAGACGTACAAGGTTCCGTGCCTTTCATCATTGGACTGGTTGTGGCTGTCAATATATTTTACGGGGTAGGTATAATTTAATATTTAATACGATAAATATTTCGCCGAGGGCTGGAGGTGGCGTGGGGGGGGGGGGTCTAGTAGTCTAACACTTGGCTCTCAACCCCAGTGAAAAACAACGCGTCTGTGGATATCGCTGTGGAACACTGGTATATTGTCATTGTTTACTGAAAAATGTGCCCGGGACCATACTGAAATACGAAAGTCAGATGTTTTCAAATCAACTGTAAAATAAATTATTTAGCAGCCATTATTTACCATAGTAATTAAGTTTACTTATTTACAAAACCATAAACTATAATATTTTAAGACTACATCTTGTTCATTGGTCGAGTACTAAAACCATAGCACAGATTTACCTCACAGCCACTAAACAAGTTATATGCTTTGTGAATAGGGCCCCCGGCCATCGATTTTAAGAGGTTTGCACGACCTTGAATCCGGCCCCTGCGGAGGTCGAAGCCAAAGATAAGTTAGCGTCCACATTACATCTGGAGAGTGATAACATTTATATAAAAACGTTCATATTTATTTTATATTTTACTTTCGATCTATTGATAACAAAGGGATAGAGCAGAAGAAAATGTCGGGTATTTTCTTTTTGTATAACAATTCACTGGCTCTAGCTAAATGAGATAAATCGACCTCAAAAACAAAACACAGCTGGGCATATATACCTAACTTGTTTATTAAAAAAAACTTTTAGATTGGTAAGAATTTTTCAGGGAAAAGGCAAATGAAAGTACTAAAACAAAGCAAGAAAAAAAAGCAACACTCCATAGCAAACAAAATCAGCAATATTTTGGGTGACTATATGTTTTAACTATTGAGATTCTAGGATAAAACAAATATGCTGGAAACTAACAACTGGCAAAATCTTAAGTCAGAGCTGATGCTAAATATTAGGTGATAGTACATCAAACGTATAAAAATGTTTTTTAGATTGACATTGTGGACATTTCTCTTTAAACATTTTTATGATTGCTTTAAGCAATGTATGCTAAATATACTGTATTGGGTTGATGAAAGATATGTGTCGAACAATATCAAATTCAACGATTTATTTACCAAATGACATTTACACCGTATCAAGGCGTCTAGCCCTCAAACATTATATGTTCAGGTCCACACACACACACTATTCAAAAAGCACTTCACTATCATTTACTAACAGAACCTGTTGTACCAATATCCGCGCTCTTCTTGGTAAACAGTTTCGTCAACTTTTATTAGTTCAACCCACATAATAATAGATCAACCCTCCTATTAAAGACCTAGTGCGAGTATTTTTAAATGTAGGTTTCTAACCCCGTCTAATAGTAAGTGCAGGATGACCGCACTACATGCAAACAAAACGGATAAGGCAAACCTGCGGACAAGACATAAACTATATACAGACATTGCAATTAGCAATAAACAACAAATATCAAATTAAGGGAAAGGATTTGGGGGCCAGTCGTAAGCGTCCACTTCGCAGCACAGTCACGAGCTTGTAATAATACAGGCTTCACTAAAAAATGAAAAGCAAATTTATAATAAAACAGCAACAAACCCCCCCCCCCAAAAAAAAACCAACACCAACATATCTTATGAAATACAAGATAGGCGCAATAGATATACTGCGAGCGATATTGATGGTAGTCATTCCTAAATGGGGTTTCTTGGTGGCGAAATGAAATGAAATGGGATTTAACGTCGTACTGTTCTGCTCCAAACTGGGTTAATGATGACGGACATACGCCATACAGCATGCAATGAGGGAAATTTTGCCCGGACATCGGTAAGGGACCTTTTACGTGCATGCCAATGTGTACACGGGAGCTCGGTTTTTCGTCCCATCCGATCGATTACTCAGCTGTCCTTGTCAGGCCCTCAGTCATGTATCACTGACAAGGGAGAACCACGCCGGAAAATCTGGATGAACTTTCTCGGCCATTGCACCGCCAGGGATCGAACACCCACCGCCAGCGTCTTAGCCACTTTTGGTGGCGATAGTATGCCAGTTGACGTAAGGATGAGAGCTATAGTCCAGATAGAAATTAGTAAATATAGTGTAAAAAGTAAATAAATTGTTAGCTGTGTGAACCTACCTAGGTAATTGGAAATAATACCATGTTTTCAAGAAAAAGTAAGCGAGCAGTTTTGTTTAACTCGATAGTTCGATGACAGGTCTGATTTTACTAGCGAGGGGTTGATTGCACTTATATTAGACCAAAGCTGTTTTTTCGGTTAAATTTTGATGCAGACTGCACATTGTTTCAAGTAAATACGGTAATACTTTAGCTGGATTGATTCTGTAATGTTGGGTAAACACGAGTTGTAATAAACGCAATAGCCTACAAAACCACACTATTTCGAGTAGAATAATCAGCTGCTTTGAATGTTTGATCATTAAAATTTTTCACTGTTAACATAGGTCAATCTTCAGTAACTGTTCCACAATCGCTATTTATCTAGATGGTGGCGATGGCGGCGATGACGTCATGCTCGGTTCCTGGTCCATACAATCATTGAAATATATAAATTTATATTCATATATTTCATGCATACAATACTATTGTACTCATTGACGTTAATGGTCGCATTTGTTTAACAATAATTATGTTACTGTCGTTTTTGTTCGTCGATCGATACAAATATTTATTTCGAATAATTAGAATACCCTTTAAATTGTCGCGAATGAACAGTTGTCACGTCCATTATATTATATTTTAGCTGTTTGCTTAGGATAAGTTATAAATGGCGTAATTTATGGACCTTAAACACACAAGTACAATACAGTTTTGCACTGAGAGAAAGCGTATATATGAATAATGATATGTTTCTGTTCTCCCCTAGTCGATAAGTAAGAAAACACAAAATTGTAAGGTAATTTTGTTCTATTTAGTCATGCATCATTAAAGTTTTCACTTTGTTTTTCACAGCCATATAACGATCATATCGAAATATACAAATGCTGTGTAGTCAACGACGCGTCAACACGTAAACATTGAGTATTCGAAAGTATTTGGAATTTGTGTGTGTGATAATGGTTTCCAAAGTTATCAGAATTTTTCGGCAAAGCGTAGTATCGAATTTAGAGATGCCATCCATTTAATCTCTGGCTATTAACTTCGACACAAAATACATGAAAGCCAACATCCAAAACGTTGCTGGATTGCGGGATATCCGTTGCCTGGCAACCCTATGTCATGGATCAGAAATACACACGTATACACAAATTGTATTTGGGGTTCTAGAAATTAATCTGTGATGTATCCCACACTTTATTTGTTCTAAATAATTTTAAAAAGTAAACCACTGAATAGCATTGAATCCTCGCTGTCGTATCTAGAATGGAATCGAATTTCCGATTTTACATTAATTCGAGAAACTCCACTATTTTTTACACTGATGGCTTGAAATTGCTTTTTTTACTTAGATTACAAACAAAACGAAAAAATACTTTGTGAAGTTGTCGAAGGAAATTAAAGCTGTCATCAAATACCCACTGACAAGATTGTTGTTTTAATTACGGACTATGCATTGTACTGGTACATAACAATGGTACATATAACGTTAACGGTTGAATTGGTACAGATAAAGCATATTGGTACACAGGGTTATTATGACATAAAAAGATTTGACGTCCCAGGTCTATTAAGATTATTAAAGCATTCTGTGATTTTTTTTTATTAATATCCCATCTTCATTAGCCCAACCGACATAGCGATTGTCATTCCAAGTCCAGCCTGTCTAGTAGGCTTATAATTAGGTCCCTGAAGCCTTGCAACTTATATCAGCTTCTAATACTTTTTAAATAACAACATAAAAAATCTCTTTGATAGACTCGACTACCGCTATGCAGTAGGTACAAGTGTTTGGACATGGTATGTGTGTGTGTATGTGGTGGTGGTGGTGGTGTGTGCGGGTGTGTGAGTGTGTGTGTGTGGGGGGTACTATTACTACTAATAATAATCTCCCATTTCACATGCTCTAAGTATTCGTATAGATTCTAGTCATGTATATTTTCTTTCTTTTTGTTGTGAGCGTACTTTCTAAATTGCATTGTAGGATTGAATTAGGTATCACGTTCGATTTAGGCATCTTTACACATCGCCCTTGAATCGTTTATCTATGTTCATGTATATTTGTTCTTATGTGATTTTTCTTTCATTTTGTAATTGTATGCTGCTCCCCGTGGGCGTTTTTATGCAATAAACTTACTTAATAAAGCAAAACGTTGCCTAAGATTCATACACTATACTCATAGCCTACATAACAGGACCATATAACATCATAGAAGCTATAATGCCAAATATTGCGGGCCAATAGCGTTTTACTTGGCTGCAGTAGATGTCCCATAGCATAGTGTATACAGTACTTCTACTTCTACCAGGTTATATATAGTGTCCACAATCATGATTGATCATTTTGACACGGCGTATACTGTGTGCGAGCCTTTGTATCGCGTGGTGTATCACATGTCTACTTCAATCGCGGTAAATGTAACGTAAATGAGCCTTGGAGCGATTGAATCGACAAAATAACTTGCCAAATTCCACAACACTGACGAATAACAGTGTTTACCTTGAATATGACGTCCTACTGTTCTGATCCTACCGGGATAATGCAGACGGGCATATGCCATACAGTGTGCTATTGGGGGAATTTTTCTCGGCCTACATTTATGCTGAATTCAAACTGCCAAGGGAACTTTTACGTGCATGCCAATGTGCACATGGGACCATGTTTTTTTGTTGACTCTTGCCAGGCCCTCTGTTCCGCACCACTAACAAGAGGGAAAAGGGGGATATCCAAAATAACATACACATTTTAATTCACTTACACCAATCAATAATTGTCAATTATTATATTTCATTTTCTTATATTTTGCGATCTGTTTTAACTTTCATATTTTTGATTAGCTCTGATTATAGTAACAAATATATTGTATGGTATCCACTAGAAAAATTTGAAATTTTATGAACATGTGCACAATTTATACAACAAAACAATAAGTCCCCCAGAATAGTTACAGTACAGTAACTGGGTTACAGTAATTGTAAGCATAGATAATGTTAATAAAAAATTCATTAATTTGCAATTTTGTGTTTTAATTTCACACATTAACGTAGGTTTTAGAAATGCAATGTTCTTTAACAGTGGGGGGTACCCGGGGTATCACGTATACACAGGTGATCCAAACCATAACGCCTGGCACACTGACAGGATACCACATTAAGGGAACCGCACAAGTTAAACCACTCCATTTGATTACCATCCTTAAAGAAAAACAGTTGAAGTCATATAGGGTTCACCGACCTAGATTTTTTTAAAAATAAATTTTAAATGAGAAAATAAAAACGATATAAGATTAAAGATAGAGCGACCATCTGCAAGAAACTATGGTATATATTTTATGAAACATTTAATAAAAGGAACAAAATAAATACAAAACATCAGCATTTGCTATAAAATAGCATATCACGTGTTTTATTTGTTGTTGAAGTGCAATGTAGTACTTATTGAATGAGAACGAAATTTCAAATGTTTGTCAGGTGTTGAAAAATGTAATTGAATACTATCGTCAGTAGAAATCAATACTAAAAACACAATCGAGCGATTTAAACATCCTTCACACATATACCACGACCTCGCCACGATCTAATAAATCAGACAGGTAGTGGCTGAGGGTGGCAGGGGTGTGGCGGGGTCTTTCTGGGCTAGGCAAGAGTGTGGTGGTTCATGATAGTAACGTGGAGAGCGTCCCACTCTCAGTATGCCGCCACTACGCTCTTCTCACTTTCAGTACCCTGTCCACACTCTCGCCAAGCTTTCTTTTTCAAGCTCGCCATGCCATGCTTACCTCATCCTAATTAGCCTTTCGCCTTCTAAGGAGAGACCAACCATGTACCAAGCAATTAAAAACAGCTCAGTACCGCTTTACGTCACTATATCAGTTTGGTGTGGTCGAGATCGAAGCACTTCCTTGATTATGGTGAGGTTGTTGTAGAAGCGTAGCAGGCACATGGCGGCTACGGGGTTGGGCGCTATGGATACGTGGCTGGGCGTTATGTGGGCGTAGACGGACTATGGAGCGTGGCGTCGGCGTAGTGAGAACGTGGACAAGGGTGAAGATTTCTCGATTTCTACCAGCGTAGTTGCCTTCACATTCGACACACTCTTATAGTATTTTTGCGCATATTTCAATAAGCTAAACTAAATATTTGTAAATTCTAATGTAATCAATTAAAAATATACTTTTAAAAAAAAGTAGGGGATATTGAAATGCAAATACCTATGCAGGTTGTGATATGATAAATAGTCATGTTCATATGTTCACAGATGAAGATACTTATCGCCCCAACAGAACCACTGAGCTGGACAGGCGACACACAATAGCGCCATACATGTGGGAGGGGTTCATTGTCAAATTTGACACTTCAAGGAAGGGTTGATGAAAACTGCCTTTTGCTGGTTTATCCTATCCATGTTTGCATTCCTATCGGTTCTTGCATGAGATTTACTGTTTAGCGTATCTTTGCTTTAGTGTGCTACGTTTAATTTGATCGGGGGACGTGTTCGTCGACGTCAACGTCAACCGACAACACTGCAAGAATTGGCCGTAGCACTGCAAGAGGAGTGGGTTAGATTGCCTCAAATCGTGATTGGACGGGTTGATTAGGAGCTTGCCACGACGAACTGCTGAATGTCTGAGGATTAGTGGAACAATTACTCATTATTAAGACAAAAATCAAAAACGTCCATTTTCACTTTTGACAGTGTATCTCTTTGCGAGTGAAATAGGACCGTCAGCCTCCCATATGAACTGTTATGTTCATGTGTAGGCAATTGGCCTGTTATTAACATACCTCTAATAAAAACAGCAGTGCATTTCCACAGTTTTGTATTGTTTCTGAATATCCCCTACTTTTTTTGGAAGAATATATATTATAATATATAGTGGAGATGGGTGTGCATTCTTCAGCGAATACCCGTTTTATTAACCACAACGTTATTTTTCAATGCCTCAGAGTCCCTTATACCGATATCAATGCCTTTGTTCATTATAGCATAATCAATGTTTTGCGAATGTTTCTGCTATCATCTTCGAATACAGCTTAGTAAAATACGGGTGTTAAACAATTTTGTCTGTTATTTCAGTATCAAAGATATTATCTATTATTATCTATTATTTCAGATAAATATATCAGGCGGTGCAATGAATCCTGTCAGGGCATTTGGACCAGCGGTAGTCATGGGCCGTTTAGAACATCAATGGGTAATTCTCTTTATTTTCAATTGTTATACTTATTAATTGTTTCCTCGTCTACAATTGATATATTCAATTTTTCTCTGTAAATTGTTTTCAGAAAATAAATAATAGTGGTGTGCGCAAGGAAAGGTATACGTATACTTTCTAGAACATCCCATACCATTTTCATTTGAGAAGTTCACACATCGAATAGTTCTCATATAAAAAGTAAATGTGAATATTTGTATTTCCTAAGTCCAGTCCAGTCCAGCTATTCATGCCCATAATTCAGTAATTGATTGGCCACAGGTCGCAAAGACTTACTACGAAATTATATCTTTTACTTTGGACCTGCAAAATATCAGTCCAAAAGTGATTCAATTTCGTTTCACTGCAGATGGTATATTTCGTGCAAAACACGATCAGCGACTTTAATCTAAAAGGGGTAAATATATCGACTTTTGCATACTATTTCAAGACCGATAGAGTCTGGAGGTGGGTATCTGGTGGGGGTGGGGGTTCTCCCCAAGGCAATTGATGAAGTTTAAAGTTTATTTCCTTGCATCTGAGGCCATTTCGGAAGGAAATTTACTTTTTTAAATGTATAGGCACTCTTCTAGTCTCTCTCATGTATTGGCTCAGCATGTCTGTGTGTGTGTGTGTGTGTGGGGGGGGGGGGGTCATTTTGATTTGATTTAAAGATAACTACATGAAAGTATATATATATATATATATAATGCTACTGAAAATGAAGTAAAAATCAGCTGATGAATAAACAAAACTTTGTTGTATATCCGTTTAATCATATTTAAAAGATAAACAGAGTAATGAACCAGCTGAATGGACATACTAGGTGGACGATCCTGTTTTAAAACCGAGCAATTTCAAACTATCAATTAGATTAAAGGACAAGAAACGTAGAATTTCGATTACAAAAATTGGCCGTAATTATTTTTCTTTTCGCAGCAGGAAGGTCATTTTAAATTGTCTTACTACTCATACACCTTGCTCAATACCCTACAAATCGTCACCGTTCATCGATGTCATACTCTAAGGGTGTTTATACAGTTCACCGAACACTGAAGTTCATCCAGTCAAGGGCACTGAACCTTGTATAATGTATTGCTTTACAGCGAATAATAAGCAGTTATGAAAACCATAATTAACACTCTATGGTGTAAGAAAATTCAATCAACACTTATTGTACTTTATTGGTTTCTCATCTATATGGGAATGAAATTATTGTATATACATACATAACCCAATTGACACGGATTTATACCTTGAAATGTCTTATATAAGAAAACGTAAGTGTATAACAGTTAGCTAAGCGAACTCATTGAATAGCACCTGCCGCCGCACAACGATACAGAAACAGAAATTGAACGATTTTCTTTTCAGTTTATTATTTAATTAAACCAATGTACACCCGACTTTACATGTGTTTATGTACTGAAAACCAAACCCAAACTCCGAAGTCTGCATCTCATGATGCATCTCTACGGCTGCAAAAGACAGATGTTGGGGATGTAGATGTTGATGAAATTTCAATTCATAATATCTATTTGGACTAATATTCCTTTTGGTGACTCAATTTTCACAATATTGTAGTTTGCAATGGGTTAATAATAATCCTTCGAATGAGGCTCAGAGACTTTAATTTGAAAGTTTGTCTATCGTTAATATTTTAATTTTGTTTTGTTAATTAAATGTGAAATAACTTGGATATATTTAAGGGTGGGTTAAGCCATGAAAAATACAATTATATATTGTTCGACGTGGCTTTAATTATACCCAAATTATACTAACGTGCCAAGGTGTGTTTTTCAACTAGAGTGACATGTCGCCAGTAATGATGTCACCTATAATGACATGTCACTGTCATATTGCGGTTGTTTGTCATCAGGTTATTCATATTAGCCAACCCCTTCGTCCACTATAATGGCACAGGTTTAACATAATTACATTTCTATTAAATTGGGATTTACCTTTTAAGTGTGACTATTAACATCATTGACAATAATAACGATAAAATGATACCAGCACTGTTTTATATTTTGATTTGTTAGGTGATCAGTATGGGAGCAGAAAAATAATCAATTATAACATTACTCAATTCACGAAAAAGAAAAACATGTACACGCCATTTTTTTTCCAACCAGAGTGAGTAGGAGTGAATAATGCGTAGAACTAAGATTTCTTGAGTTGGAACGATAATATTACCCCTTTGGGCATCGTTGTGTCCGTAACATTTGGTTAGCTATATGGTGTAGGCCTCTCGTGCAGGAGTCCAGATAAGAAGAGAGAGAGAGAGAGAGAGAGAGAGAGATATTCTTACACAGACCCTGTCTCTTGCCCGCTATATCCTTTACAGAACTATCATTCTCTTCGTTTTCACCGACACTCATTATTTTATATCTGTTTTGTTCTGGTGTTTTTCTATTAAACTTGCAGTGCAGATTTGTAACAAAATGGCGACCATGGCCCCAGTTGGCCATACTATATGCCACGCTCGATGATCAGTTAGAAAACCACTCCAAATACATGTATACTCGTTAATTTGAAATTAATACGATAAATTAGCCGATTGATCGCCATTTGTGCCCACGATCTAATTCAGATAATAGGACCTATTGAACTGTATTGTTAAATCACGCCAAACTGAAACTTACGTTATCTCCGATGCTGATTACCAAAGGGATTGTAGTATGAACTACAATATTGAAATAAAAATATACCGATATGTTTTTCCTTGTATGACTAACACTTTCATATGATTGTATTTTTCAGATTTATTGGGCTGGGCCTTTGGTAGGTGGAGTTCTTGGTGCCTTTCTTTATGACAAATTCTTCTCCGTGGCTGCCACCCACACTGCTGTAAAAAGCTGCTGTCTGGGTTCCGGTTCCTATAAATCAGTCAGTACTATCGAGGATCCGGTGAGAAAGGAGCCAACAAATTTTACCGTAAACGAAAAGGTTCCCTTAACGGGTTCCACCGATGGAATATCATCGGTTTAAGGAACATTTTAAAAATGTAAAATAAGTAACTGCTAACAAATGTACCCGTTTGTGTAAATGGATTTATCGTTTGCAAAATGTGTACATGTACTTACTAAAGTATCCAGCTTTCGGTATTGCCGGAAGTCTTATGCCAGATAATTAAGTAAATGTGAGGCTGAATGTTTTATGTTTCTAATCAAAGCATTTATTTTTAATATAGCCACAAGCATTGTTTGTTATAATGTTTCATTTGAACAATTGAAAGGTTTTAGTCTTTAGTTATCTCGATGACTATACTATTGATTCTTGACTGAGAATTGTTGCGATGGTCTAGAAATGGCCATTGTTAAGTTAGCATTGAACAATTTAAACATAATCAAGTAATTTATTGTATGAATAAAGATGCAATATTCCAGAATAAACCATGGCAGATATAGACTCTCAGACCATAAATTAATGAAAAATATAATCTTAACAAAAAGTATATTATATGTCCAACATGATTAAAAACGACCACTTCTTACATAGTTATAGCCATCTTAATTTCAAATTACTTTGTATTGATTTAAAATACGCCATCTTTATTCTATCGGTTGATTCTCAATTTGATTTCATGTTATTTAAAAATAAAAATAATCCGGAATTTTTAATTGGTAACCTCAACATTATAACATTAAACAAACAGAACCATGATGATAATGTTTTGAATTGAATCTACAGCCTACGGGAAAAGTGACCATGTTTAGAAAACCCAGACAAAAATAATAGTCAAGGGAAGTAACTCCAATTAGCAAAATCCCCCCCCCCACCCTTTTTACCGCATTGCATTTAATGTTTAAATCCATCACACTTCTTCACCTATAACATTTTTTTTTTTTTAAAACACGCTTAATATTTATAAGCACAAAGACCCCAACATGCCACAATCATCTGATAAAATATTATTGGGGGTCTACCATATCGATTTTTTTCTACGCTTCGTGGTTAACGGAATCTATAGGCCGTGACGTCATTTTAATAGGTGATTTCCCATAAAAAATTTCCTGATCCTGCCGCCTCAAAATCAAGATAATTCACCAAAATCACCCATCACAGCGTATATATTCCCCCAACCAGGCGAAAAAAACCCAAACAAATCGAAATAGTCCACTTGGTCAATATTTTTATAAAATTATTATATAACATGTTGGGCCCTTTGAAGTTGTAAAGATTAAGATCATTGAAATGTTTTTAAAATGCTCTAGCCCAAGAAATGTCATGGATTTAACACTGAAGCTAATGGGTGGGTAAAATTATTAGTCTTTGTTCAACTATTATTTTCGATTGTTTTTATTTGCTGCAATATGATTGTAAAATTTCGGTGTTATCAAATAGCTTTTCAAACCATAAAAAAAGGATACACGACAACAAAATTACTGAAAATGTCGTGCGACTAATCGGTATGTTTGATTGTAAAATATAACTCCGAAAATATATTTTTTGTTATCATATTAACCGGAATATAAAATCAATTACAAGCTTTATAACTGTGTTGTCATTGTTTATTCCAATGATTAATAAATATTTTTATAGTTCTGGATAACAGAGACAATGATTGACTTTATTACAGATTTCTGATCTCTTCTTATACTATTTTTTTTAATTTGAGACCTATCTGACCGGGACGCACCTAGCTTCGTCTAAAACAGAAACTGCCTGGTAACCCAAGCTATTGATCAATTCCTGTGTACAACATTTTATTAAACAAAAAACTTATCTATCCGCAATCGAAATTCTACGTGATTAACGGGCAATAAAAATTAATGTGACCAATACTGGCTCGGTTTCCTTTAATAATAATATGATTTAAGCATACTCTAAATTAGGAAAGAAAATAAGACTCAAACAAAATGGAGAGGTGTTCTACCGTCTTCTTCGTATTATTCAGTTGATTCCCCAATTTGATCTCATTTCCTTCCAAATTACATTTTTCCAGAATTGAGGGTCTAGAGCACAAGTGATGTAACAACCAACTAAAATGGTTGGTAGTTAGATCACTTGTGCTCTAGACCCTCCAATTTTTATTAGGTAACATCAAAATTCTTTATTGTAACATTAAAGCGAGAATTTCATATTTTCTAAGAAAGTCAGAACATAATTATTTCTATGTTTTTTGCTCAATAGGTTGTCAACTCACTATTATACGATCATTATAGGTATCATTCTCACACTTAAAAATCATTCACACCGGAAATAATAACACAATTACCTCCCCTGTTTTTCTATTCCCCCCCCCCCCCATGGAATAGCTATCTTCAAACGTTTGAATTTGATGTTGAAAATGATATTTTTGCCAATTTCTCAACTGGCAATAGTGAATTATAGGATTAATAGGATTATTCTTTAACAAGGTAGGACTGTTTATAGATACCATCTATTTTAAGGCTTTATTTTAATACATTTTAAAAATATAACTTAAAAATATGAAATTATAGCTTTAAACGAACAGCACCTTGCTGATAGATAGTGTTTTTAACTGATTCTACAGCCGACAGGAAAAGTGATTTTGTTTATAACGCCCGGATAAAAATAATAGTCAAGGGGAGTAACTCCAATTAGCGAAATTTTCTCCCTTTTACCACATTGAATTTTCTGTTAAATCGATGACATTTCTTCTCCTATAACATTTTATTATACGTTCTCAATATTTATAATCACAAAGACCCCATGCAACATGCAACAGTAATCTGATAAAAATATTAAAGGGTTTCTACCATCTCGAATTGTTTTTACTCGTGGTTCACGGAACCTATAGGCTGTGACGTCATTTTCATAGGTGATTTCCCATAAGAATTTCCTGATCCTGCTGCCTCAAAATCAAAATTATTCACCAGAATCACCCATGAATATGACGTAACAACCTGTATATTCCTTTAACCAGATAATAATTTAAAAATTGGGATAGTCCACCCGGTCAATATATTTATATAAATGATTATAACATGTTGTGCTCTTTGTAATTATAAAGATTAAGATCATTGAAATGTTTTTAAAATGCTATAGCCCAAGAAATGTCATGGATTTAACATTGAAGCTAATGGGTGGGTAGAATTACCACTGTCTGTTCCAAGAGATACCACGACTCTAACATTCCTCGCCATTTCTTCAGTTTTTAATTTAAACGGCCAAAACTTGGTGACGTACCTGAAATTGTCATCCCGTAGCTCTCTTCGTCGAGTCTTAAAGCCTAGAAGGTCGATAAAATCCACTACTCTCATGTAAATTTCACATATTTCGACATAGATTCTTTCTCAAAACATAAACATTACGAGTGCGTCTGCGTGATGGGAGACTTGCATTTCGCGTAAATGGTAGACAGGTATCTCCAAATCGGGTACATTCGGTTGGAAATATTTAGTGAAGGAAAATTCGTCCGTTTCCTTTGCGGCAGTAATATTATTAGGTTTCAGGCTGAATCTTGTGGTCGGATTAATATTATGTTCCATTTCCACCTGCTTATTTCGCAGAAACTGCCCATTAAGCCACTCGGTTTTTGAGAGCAAGGTCTGGAGATATAACATTTTTATAAACACTTTATAAGTTTTCCAAAGTACATAGGTTCTGATCAGCTGTAAATAAATATTCAAAATATATTTATCCAAATTATCTCCCTTTGGCCTTACAGTTTTTAGAGTATAAACTAAATAATAACTATCCAATTGACCCAGAATCAATGGCATAGTATACACGTTGACACTAGCTATAATAATCATTGGTACAAAATATTATCTTATCGCAATTATCTGGATCTTCCTCGTAAATAAGCAGAGCAATTTGGGAATTGATTTTCGTACCCCGTTTTCCCGCAAATATTATCTAACTTTTTTGTTATATAATATTTGTATTTTCTAAACATTTCTATACACGTAGTGGTAATATATAAGATCAACCAAATATCCATGAATCATTTTGAATATTTGCTATTTACGAGAAAGGGGCAATTTTGTGGGAGTCACTTTTCAAAAGAATCAATATTGTTCTATTTTCATGACATTTTCACTATTTGATGCCTACTGCGACTGTTCATTATTGTAACATTCTTGTCATTAGAAATGGCGTCATTTTGGCGCAACTTGTACTTTTAACCCTTATTAAACAAATTTAATTTCAAATGTATTTAAATTTTAAAACTTCCACTTATCGAAAAGCACAAAACAATGCAAACATATGAATACATCAAGAGATAGTTTATAACTGTATGCAGTTGTCCAAAAGTACCTTTTTACGTTGTTTTGCCCAACACATCTACAGTGATTTTGAAAAAAAAAACCCACAACATATGTTCAACCCTTGAAGCAAACATGTTGTTTTCCTAAAGAGTGTTATTCGATACCATTTAATAATACTGTTTACTAATTTCCTTTAAGTAATATTTTGTAAGGGTTCAACAAGTCAACATGCTATCATAAATGGCCATTTCGCCTAAATTTGTAAAATGTGTATCATGTTCATGGGAATATGTTAAGTGACGTTCGTTAAAGGATAACGGGCACCGGTGAAACCCGTCACGAATGCATCGCAGTAAAAGTTTTCCATAAATTTCTGAGCTGTTTCTACCCCCCTCCTTTTTTGTGGAAAATAAATACCGGTATTTTAATATTCCTCACAGTTCACTGCTGGATCATAGATATTCATAGTATTGTTATTGGACAAAAGTTCAGAATTGTTTCAGATATTACGCTAGAAAAGACAAAAAAGCGAATCTTCGAAAATATAGGGGATATTCAGAAACGATACAAAACTGCGAAAATGCACTGCTGTTTTTATTAGAGGTAACAAGTGTATGTAAATAACAGGCCAATTGTCTACACCTGAATATAAACAGTTCATATGTGCGGCTTATCTGACGGCCCCATTTCACTCGCAAAGAGTTACACTGTCAAAAGTGAAAATGGATGTTTTTGAATTTTGTTTTAATAATGACTAATTGCTCCACCAATCCTGAGACATTCAGCAATTCGTCTTGGCATGCTCCTAATCAACCGTCCAATCACGATTTGGGGCAATCTGACCCACTCCTTTTGCAGTGCCACGGCCAATTCTTGCAATGTTGTCGGTTGACGTAGACGTCGACGAACACCTCTCCCGATCATGTCCCAGACATGCTCTATAGGGGAAAGGTCAGGACTCATGGCTGGCCAAGGCATATGGACAATATGGTGACGCTGGAGGTAGTCTTAAAGAATCTGCCTTCACTTCTCCTTCTTCCAGGCGTCTTCAACATAAATTAGTAATTTTCTATAAAATAATGAATAATCAAGTTCCGATTTCCCTTTCAAATCTTGTACCACCTCGAATTTCAACACATCAATCATATAAATTGAGAAACTCTGACAATATTAAACAAATACACTGCAGAACCTCACACTATCAAATCCCTTTTTTTCGTCAGTAATCAAAGATTGGAATAATCTTGCTAGCGACATACGAAAATCATGAACGCTATCACAATTTAAATCAAAGCTTAGGCAAAAAAATTATGTACAGCCAGCACCCGAACTCTCTTGTATAGGCAATAGACAAAATCAAATTATTCACTGTAAATTAAGAAATCTCAAAAGTGATCTAAAATTTCACAAAATGTTAATGCATATATCAGATGACCCTCTTTGCCATTGTGGAAATGCTATAAAGGATTGTGAACACTTTTTCTTTTATTGCCCTAAATTTGTAAAAGCTAGAAAAGAAACAATTTATAAACTTCCGATGAAAAACAAAAACAGCCAATCCTTATTTTTCGGGCAAAAAAGTAATACATTATTATGATGAAAACGCTAAAATATTTAAAACTGTTCATAAATACTTGGATATTACAAAACGTTTCTGTTCGTAATCATACAAAATTTTACATTTAAATGGCGTCAGTGCGGCGTAAATTATATGAAAGTATCGCCTTTTTATCTGTATTAAATAAAGCTTAAAATGTCATGATATTACTGAATGGTTACTTTTTTCCGACTGACATAAGCCTTATATTGATTTAAGTATATGCGGTTCAGTTCCATTAAATTTAATCTGATGAAGACGACAAACAAATAAAACTAATAATTAAAAAAGTTTGTAGGTGTGGTGATGATAGCATACCCCCTCCCCCTCCCATTTATTTATTTTCTTCTTTTTTGTATTGTGTGTGCCTTTAAAGGGACATTCCTACGTATCTGATCTAAAAATAGCCTTACTGACTTACTGAACAATAGCAATCAAAGCATAACTTGAACATGTTGGAACAGAAAATCTAAATAAAAAAATCACAAAATATGAAAACAAAAACAACTCGACGTTAACAAAAAATCAAAAATGTAATCGATCAATAAAATATAAATTTTAGTCCCCCCCCCCCCCCGTGAGAATGTCCCTTTAAGAAATTTAAAATTATCATCTAAATTGTACATAATATGATTTATACTGTATATGTGTGTTATATTATGACTGCCAGTTGCAAATCTGTTAAAGATCCATTTTAAGGAAGCGATTTTATATAAGCTGATGAAGCTTGTTATCGTATCCTATATTTATTCTATGAATTTTGTAAATTTAAATGAATAAAATGTTGTTTAAATAAAGTCATTTACGACACGACCGCGATGGGCACGGGTATTATCATTTTGAAACGTCGACCTGCAGGTTGAGCAAAGGGCAGAACTATCGGTGCCAGGATGTGGTCACGGTAGTACACACCAGTGACCCTTCCTTAGACAATATGCAAGTCTGTTCTGCCAGTCAAACCAACGCACCCGCCCTCTTCGACTCTCCCAGATAACTAGGCCAAGTATGGTTGATGTTCAGTAGCGCGATGTACACAAACCAAGAGTTTTCAAGAGAGAGAGAGGTTATATAGCTTGATCTGAAATTGGTTCCCTCGTGTGAGAAAGTAATGGGTGGCAATTCCAGGTATGTCACTAAGTTTTAGCTGTTTTAATTTTTAATTAAAAATTGTAGAAATGGCAAGCAATTTTTGTGTCGTTGTGTCACCTGAAACAAACAGTAGTCTTTGTTCAACTATTAGTTTCGGTCGCTTTTATTTGCTGCAATATGAGTGTTAAATTGTTGTTCCAATAGCTTTTCAAACTACAAATAAAAGGACACACACACGACAATAAAATTACTGAAAATGTCTGGAAAACAGAGACAATGATTGAATTTATTACAGATTTCTGACCTCTTCTTATACGAAAATCTTTTAATTTGGGACCTGTCTGACCGGGACGCACCTAGCTTCGTCTAAAACAGATATTGACCAATTCCATATAGCTATGTCTACAACATTATTTTAAACATAAAGCTTATATCCCTATCCACAACCGTAATTCGACGTGAGTATCGGGCTATAAAAATCAATTTACCTATAGATAACGCTGTGGCAAATACTCACTCGATTTGCTTTAATAGATGGTCAATATGATTTAAGTATACTCTAAATTAGCAAACAAAATAAATGATATTATATCACTTAAAAATTCCCGCGCCAGTTAGTTTGGTTCATTACGGTTATTCAGCCCTAAATTTTAAAGGGGCATATGCGGCAGTTTATCGAGGAATACTGATTGTTCCAAATAGGTCTCAATTTGTCCATATACAACTGGCTGTAGTTTTTTCTTTGATGTGCATAGCAGTTATATTTCATATCAACCTGTCATGATAGGTTGATATATTCGGTTCACATGACGTCATGACAGGTTGATATATTGGGTTCATATCAACCGCTGATGATGTTGATGATCGAAATAATACAAAGAACACAGAAATACATTTTATTCTTTTGACAATTAAAAAATAAGATACAGTTTTTAGCATTCAGCACCGAAATAGACGGCGTACTTATCGGCATATTTAGATCGGTTATCCATGTCTCTAAGATATCTTTCAGAATGTTCTTTTTGTCCACATTTCGATTATTTCTCCACACACTCCAAGACTTGAAAATATTTATAGGCCAAGAGTTCCCTTGTAAAGTATTTTTGGGTACAATCCTTCTCTGAACATACCGAAAACCTTCATGGTTCACTGTCAGAATTATCGGAAAAGATTGCCTTTTTATCCAAATTTTCTTCAGCCTTTGACTATCAACTAGTAGATCCTCGTTGGCTAAAAATAATTTATTATTCGTCTGATAAAGTATTACTATCACTATCCATTTTGTTTTTGCTTTCTCTATCATATCAACCTCGGGTAGGTTAATATCCTATACATAGTGTGTTAGGGGAAATAACGACCGATGGAAGAGAAATATATTAATAAAATTTAACTTTCACCTAAGTCTTACAAAGGGGAAAACTCCATGTATCATAGGTTCCCATGCTATATTGAAAAAAAAAATCAAATTCAAAGAGGTACTGCAAAATGGCCGCAATTTAAGTATAGGTGCTGCTTTTTATTTAGGGAGGTACATATTACTGTGTGAACCGTGGTATAATAAACGGATTTCTTCAATTATGAACAAACTACTATACTTTGGTTATTATAAACTTACCTGTGTGTTTGAAATTACCTCCGGTTATATAAAATCCATTGTACAACTATATGTCCTAGCGAATAAAAAAGTTCTCTCTTGTAAAATTGAACTCATCACAAACTTTGACACCGAGAAATAACCAAAATGAAGGCTAATTACGTCACTTATCGGGATATATCATTTCGTATAGGGGGGTCAAAGCAAGGCTTGTCTGTCGTAACGGTTGTGTATGAATAAGCTATTCCTCTCGGAACCCAGTAATGAGTTTGGGCGTTTAAAAACATAAATACGCCCGTAGTCCGGTATTTTGTTTCCCTCTTGTATTATAATTATTTGGTTAGAGAGTTTGGTGGGATTATTTCTTTTGAACTATATTTGTTTTACTGACCTTAAATTGTGCCGTCGCCCCTGTCGGTCCGGACGTCCGTCCGTCCACAATTGTTTGTGGACTCTCTACAGGTCACAATTCTTATCCGATTTTGACGAAACTTGAAATATAGGTTTATCCCCAAAAGATCTCGGCTGCTTTCGATATTGGCATGTATCGGATCGAAACTTCCTGAATTATGGCCCCTGATTGAAAAAAAAATCGCGTTTTTAGCTTGTGGACCCTATAGAGGCCATAATTTTTTATCCAATTTTAAAAAAAAACCGTATTATTATATCACCGTTACACCCTAAGGACGACTGAGCTCGAAATTCGTGAAAACGGCCCAAAACTGACAGACAAAATGGCCGCCGCGTAAAAATATGGCATATCAAGGTTGTGGACCCTATAGAGGTCACAATTTTTATCCGATTTTGTTGAAACTTGAAATGTAAGTTTATAACCCAAAGATCTCGGTTCCTTTTGATATTTGCGCATATCGAATTGTAATTTCATGAATTATGGCCTTTGATTGTAGGAAAAATCACTTTCTTTTTAGCTTGTTCTCTATCCATCTCTCGAAAATGTGGGCGTATCCTGCCTGACAGCCACTGGTTAATCAACACGGTGTTTCTAGTTCTTTCTAATACGAAGCACGCATAAACATGTATGGTAGGATGCAAGAACATGATACTAACAGTAGCTTCATTTCACTTTTACAAGGTTCTTAAAACAATTGTTGAGTTGCCTAACGTGCGTGTTTCTAAATTCAATTTCTTGTTCCAGCTTTCTGTTATGTTTCGTAAAAAGGTAGCTTTCTGTTATGTTTCGTAAAAAGGTAGCTTTCTGTTATGTTTCGTAAAAAAGTAGTCTTGATTATCTGAGCCTGTCAATCAAACGGAGAATGGTCGGTAGACTGGTTAAGCGAGACTAATTTCAAAACTAGGGCACGTAACCTATTATTTACTCAAAAGTGCCCGGATGTTATGGCCGACACGTACTCGTAACCATTTTGCAGTCTATTATTTATCGATGGTTAATTGGTCATAGCTTATTCAGTACAACATGGCCGTTTAATTAGTGTTGATAAATGTGCGAAACTGTTTTAAGGCTTGTATATATATATAAATATTGTGGTGTAATTGTCGAGATATTTGGATATATTTACTTATGGTGGGTTACCGTATGTATGGTCTGTTTTCAACAATCACCGGGTTAGTATGCCGGGGTGTTCATCTCACCTACGTTTCCTCAAATGATCACCTATGCACGTGCTAAAACAGCACATTACAGGTTAATCGGTAACTTGAACACCCGAGTCAGAACAAATGGTCCAGGAGCGACCACCCGACATCCAGGCTAGCGAGTCAGCGTCTTACTCACTTAGCCACCGTGGCTTCCAATGTACAACAATGTCAAACTGTTAAAATCGACAGATAAAACCCGTTAATTCTTAAACAAAAAAAAAAAACAAAAAAAAAAAAATAAGGACAAAAAAGTCAAATTCATATTGAGTATTTAGTTCGACCACTTTCATGGTCATGATATACATTTCTATAATAATTATAAAATGGTTATTTTTGTTATAATCATGATTTATATTATTTTTTTAAACAAGCTTTTAACACAAAAAATATTATCCAGATATTTACTCATATATATATTTAATTCATTTAACCTAATCGTTTTAAGATAATCCGTTTATCAAACGAAAAATGAGCCAGTCCTTTCTAAACATAATACCTAGTTACGCACTTAAGAGGTAATGGGAATGATAAACGTAAATTTTTCATTCCTTTGACGAAGTTTCGTTTCAGTGAGACACAACTAGTCTATTAAAAATGAATTAACTAGATGGATTGTATAGTTTGCGTGTTTGTACTTTGGATGGGGATTTAAATGCTTGACATGTTTTCATAAGAAAATATTTTAATTATACCGCCATTGTCCACGTCAAAATATGTATGTATACATTTGTACATTTAAAAAGCACGAAACGAAAAAAATGATAGTGATTTTATAACTCGCAAGTATAACCACAACATTTAATTTTGAGTCTAGTTTCTGTGTTTCAGTTGGGTTATAAACAACTGCGAGTATAACCAGAACATTTAATTTCAAATAAAGTGTTTGTTTAGTTATAATCAGAACATTTTGTTGTATTTTAGTTGGGTAAACAACATTTGTTAGTAATATTTTATGTTAGTGAATTGTGTTTAAAATGAACTGTAAACATTGAAAGTTCGTGTTCTTTCGGGGTGTGTGTAAACAACTGAAGCGTGACTAAATAAAATAAAGGGGGATAATTCAACATATCGTATTAGCAGGTCACCAAGAATTGCGGATGTGTTTAAATCGACCCCAGTTATTTAAGTTTCTAGGTCACTGGTAAACCATGATTAAGGAAGTAAACTTTCGTAAATACTGTACGAGTGTCATGCAGTTGGACCCTGTATTAAGATTCCGATGTTTATTTGGGACACAAAAGAGGTTAGTTTCAAAGATTAATAACAATATTATAATACCAATAATGTAGCCTACATGTAGACCTACTCCGTACATTGCTAACGGTAACACTATTGAAGGTTTAGCTTCTAGACTTCCCTTTCGTTCGCTCATTCGTTCGTGGGGTTTTATGTGTAGGATAAAACATGAGACCGAGGTTATGCTGGGGAAAGAAAGACTGAAGAAAATAACCCGAGAAAAAGAAAAACCGAGGCCGGCAGGCCGAGAGTTTTCTGTCGAGGTTTTTTTTCTGACGATTTTCTTACCCAGCATAACCGAAGTCGAGGACTTTATCTTGCTTATAAACCGTCTATGTTTACATGTACACAAAATGAGAATATGCCAGAATTCCCATAAGAAAACCTTAGATCATGTTTTCTTATGGAGAAAAAAAAACCTACCCTGGAAGAATAACCTGTTACAGGTTTAAAGAAAAACTTTCAGAAGAATAACCCCAAATTCCCCTCGACTTTCAGACCTCAATTTATTCAGGGCATAGAATATACCCCACAGATCAAAGAGATTTACCGTTACAGGTTTATAAGTCCGCTGTTTGAATGTGGTAATTAATTAACTAAAGTATTCAGTAATTAGGATTATTGTTGAATCTGTGATAATAAAATTTGTCGAACATTTGGCTGTCATACATAACATCAGGTTGATATTGAGAGTTGAAGTCCGATTAGACGTGTGAATTCTAGAGAGATCGTCGATGTCAAGTCTCTATTGTACTGACTAAATCCAGATATGACAAGTCACTTTAGACGACTAAATGCGAGAGAGGGGGCGATGTGAAGCCACTGTTGTGGTCAAAATGGTGGTTACCAACAACTACTATAAAAAGCTTTACTAAACGTCATAATGTGTGCTTAACCAATAGCTGTGGTTTAAATTTAGGGGAATCCTTAAGTATGATGTGTGTAATTACTTAAGTATGATTTGTTTAACGTTGGATTTATTTCCGCACTTCTTTATTTAGACGATAGCTCCTTAAACATTGACAATAATAAATAATATTTACACTAATACGATATGGAATGGAGGTTGTATTTGAAGAGTGTTGAGTTACTGACTTATTTTCACTACATCTGAAACTAAACTAAGGTAGTATATTACGTCTGCTACAACGATTTGTCGATCAATATTTTATGTTGAGAAAATTTATTTAAGTTGATTATGCCTAATTAATGATTTATAAAACATTTATGGCCAAAAGTAAGAACTGGAATAGGTCTTACATAATGTATCTCTAATGAACCCAATGGTATCTATATTATACTGTAGGTATGTAAGTGAGTGACAATGATAAATAAGCCTATCACAGTGTTACTAATGTCTGTTACTATCGACCGCTGAAAGAAAACATTAAATAAGGACATACTTCATTGAATTAGGTCAAAAGAATTTTGAGTTGAAAAGATGTTATTTCAGTACGGCGGTCGGGTGGTGGGGGTAGTGGTACAAATCAGAAATGACAACGGTTTAGGACTTCGCCAGAATACAAACTACAGCATCTGTCCGTTCTTGCTTAACACCTCTTACACTTCAAGCCTTTTCCTCCTATTTTAACTAGCCTGGAGGTCGGGTGTTCGATCCCTGCATTGGCCAAGAAAGTTCATCCCGGTTTTCCGGCGTGGTTTCCCCTTGTCAGTGATGCAGGACGGAGGGCCTGACAAGGACAGCTGTCTAGTCCTTCGGATGAGACGAAAAACCGAGGTCCCGCATATACATTGGAATGCACGTAAAAAATCCCTTGGCAGTTGGAATTCGATATAAGAGTAGGCGATAGTGCCGCTGCCAGGGCAAAATTTCCCTCACAGCACACTGTATGGCGTAGGCCCGTCTTCATTAGCCCAGTATAGGAGCAGAACAGTAGGATGTTAAACCCCATTTCATTTCATTTCATTTCCTATTTTTAAGGTGAAGATAAATGTTGCTGGGGAAATTCATGGGGACCAAACCAGGCAAACTGAAACAAGCGACGGCCAATCGAAGAAATAAAACATTTAATCACGAAAACATAGACGTTGACAGAGGAAAGACACTCGAAAATCTTGAAAGATTAAGGAATCAGTCACAAGAAGGAAATGTGACCAGGATCAGATGCATAGAAAACACACACGAGACAGCTGAGAATAATTCGAGCAACTATGTAATAAATTCATCCCCTCATGGTTCTTTCAGCTCATCACCCAACTGCAATAGCAATGTATCTCAGAAGCCAAAAGGTCGATTAGTGAATGGTAAAGTAGAGTATGAATGTGATTTAACAAATGATCGCGAAATACCTACTCAGCAAAATGAGTCTTCTGGAAATAGACCTATGGGGGTTGGGAGAGTCTCAGTTAAGAATGTGTATACAAGATATGAAGATGAATCAACAAGTGTGGTTTCTGGAGTTTATAGTGAAAGAGTGATATCTAGTAATGCAAGCTTGAATATTGAACAATGTGAATCAACTACAAGTCATCACGCTATAAGCTCGAGTGAAAATGAACACCTAACAACAGATGATGCCTCGGAAGGTAAGTTAGTGTCAGAAATTGATTTTTCATTGGAGGATTGACAAAAACAAATATTGCAATGTCTTCTTATTGGAATCACATCGGTTTACTATAACTCTTTTGGCAAATTTGATAAAATTTATAATTAATAGTAGACGGCATTTTTATAAAGCTGATTCTGGTATTTAGTCATACCATGAGTTCATTTATGGGTAAGCATCCTGTTTTGCGAAAATGAACAGTTTCATAATTACATCTATGATATATATAGTCACATCCACATACCCAAGGTGTGTACGTTCATGTTTCATACAATGCCAAATATAAGACCAACGAATACATTCATTGGCGTAACCGATGTGGTGAATGAAAGCGGTGTGATATATGGTTATATTTGATTTGGTAAAATTCAAGTTATTTTGTACTTATACTTTTTAAGGTGAAGCGAAATATGATGCATATCTGAATTGTCCAGCAGAGCACATCTTGGTTGGAAAAAGAATTTTAGAGGTATTGGAAAACCCCCCCTACAATTTTAAATTATTTTTACCTCAAAGACAGATTTTGCCAGGCCTTGTTGAATATGATGCCAAGGCCGAAATTGTAGAAAAGAGGTAAATGAGTATATTATACCCAAGGAAAAAACTATTTTAAATTTTAACTTTGTGAATTTCTCATTCGAGGTATCACAGTAGTAGAAAAAATGAAATGGAATGAAATGGAGTTTAACGTCCTACTTTTCTGCTCCTAACCTGGGCTAATGAAGACGGGCATACGCCATACAGTGTGTTATGAGGGAAATTTTGCCCGGACAGCGGCACTACGGCCTACTCTTATATCGAATTCCAACTGCCAAGGGATCTTTTACGTGCACGCCAATGTGTACACGGGACCTCGGTTTTTCGTCCCATCCGAACGACTAGACAGCTTTCCTTGTCAGCCCCTCCGTCCTGCATCACTGACAAGGGAGAACCACGCCGGAAAATCTGGATGAACTTTGTCGGCCAATGCAGGGATCGAACACCCGACCTCCAGGCTAGCGAGCTAGCGTCTTACCCACTTAGTCACGTGATCCCCCACACAGTAGTAGAAACGAGGTAAAGGAGTATATTATACCCAAAAAGAAAAACTATTTAAAATTTGTGAATTTCTCATTCGAGGTATCACAATTAAAGGACAATCAAGGACAAGAAAACGTAGCCATGAAGTGAAATATTTTTCCCCAGTTCAATAATATTGGTAACATAATAAAGTCTAAAGTTTCTAATTGTCGCTTTTTGGTGAATTGGATAAAAAGACGAACAATAGACCAGTGAACAAACGCATCCATTAATAATATCAAATACGTGTATGTACCAATAATATAATTATAATGTCTACATTTCTTCATACTAAATTGTTGTTCTAATGTCTACATTAATTAATATTAAATACGTTTGTGTATCATTAGTGAGCACTAATTTCTACATTTATTTGTTAGATGTTCTGGAAAAGTTATAGCACTTCTGTCAAGGGACACCAAATCATCTGAAGCTTGTGATTTTATCAACCATTTTGCAAAATCTCTCGATCCAGGTATGTTTGTCTCGAGTCACTTGAATTTTAGAAAAAAGGAAAAATGTCTTATAATTTAAATCATTTAAAAATACCATTACTAGTATACATAGCATATGAATAATATATTTGAAAACCGATGACTCGGTGCTTAATTAATACTAAATTTTGTATTATTTTCAGTTTCCAAGCGTACATATTTGATTCCAGTTAAGATAGATGACGATGCTTATATTCCAAGAATTCTTCAAGGGATGTACTTGATTCGTTATAGTAGAGACAATAATCGAGGGTTTTTTTGGGATAAACTTTCTAAATCCATCAGATCAAACGTGCCATTAAGTGAGTCTGAATTGGAATAAATCCCAGGAACAAAAATCATCGTTTTCCGGTCCATTTCCAATATAGAACAATTTACGGTGGTTTTATTGTAATGCCAGGAACAAAGAATTAGTGAAATATAATTTGTTGACAAAGACTAGACAAACGTGTTCAGTATTCTGTGAGTTTATAATTCGTATATAGAATAATAATATGCGAACCTTTATATGAGTTTTTCAATTACCAAATTATCAGCCTAGATCTGATATTTTAAGTTTTTTAAGAACAGTCCTACCTCAACGATATATAATGACAGTAACCTTGGTGGCTCTCTAAGTATATATATTTTAGGAACAGATTAGATACATCTTTTGGGAATATAAACAGTTAATTTGTTTTGGGACTAGACGCTTAATTACCTTTAAGGATATCTATGATGCTTATTTTGGGAATAGACCGTCAAAATTTACTGTTGTGAAATCTATAATAATTACAAATACCTTTTTATATCTCCACACTGAAATGTGGTCGTATATTGTCGTCGCCCGTCTGGCCGTCCGTATGTCTACCCATCTTTGTGCCCACTTGTGGACGCTCTAGAGACTATAGTTAGTATCCGATATAAGACGAAGGGGCATATTTCCAGTAATTTCTTTCGGAGTTATGACCCTTGATTACTTTGAAAAATCATGTGGACGATTTATACATAGTATTTATTACCGACAAAAGAGAAATATGCGACAACCCTAGTGAATTGCCCGGACAACTTCACTGATGTCGGCGTATGGTTCGTTGCCTGGCAACCTAGCCTTTGCAATGTAACAAAACACATGTAGTTTGTCTATTTTTAAAGTAAGAACAATAACTATAAATTTTGGGATCTGTCAGTTGAATATATTCGATTTTACACAATGTATTCTAGAAACACAAGAAAACAGCATAAAAACGAAATAAAAATAATAAAATACAAGTGAAGGGTTCTTTACAAAAGTGTTTATTCAGATGCCAGGTAAAGTGTAAATATAACTGAGTTTTCTTTAAGATGAAAATATGTATCAGTGTACATTTATGCAGTGAACAGAAATTGTATTTATTTAATTTAATAAAGATAGAGGTATATTTACGCATGGTTATATTTCCGTTTTATATTGGTAAACCGGCAAACCTAATAGCTAGTACCCTCCATATTAACCACAGTTCTAAGAATATTATCAATATCTAAATCATTCTCTCGCCGGAAAGTAGTTTTATTTAAGTTGACATAAAGTTCATGTCATATATGATGATTGTTATTGATTTTGTTATTATATTTATGTGAACCTTAGAGGCAGTGGCTATTATACTGAGCAACCTGAGAAAATTTTGAAAAATTGAGTCAATATCCTGTCATTCGAGGTCATTGCTAGGAGATATTCTTGTGAACGAGAGGACCAGAAATGTAAGTCAATGGGACAGAATCTCGAGATCTGCCCCTGTCAATTCCACCTGTTTTGCAAGAGTTGACAGAACATTTGAACAGCCTGACGCCCCACGACCCACACACCACAGGCACTACTAACTGGGCAATTCACTTTAACCGTGAATGTGATAGTGCAGTATAAGACAACAGTAGCTAGTGTGGAAGAATGATGTCATAATGGAATCGAGCGCCGCAGATACGTAACTGAGCTTTTAATTTTTGGGGACTGGGGCTGAAAATTTTAGTCCATGTCATGGCAAATGGGACCAAATTTTCGTTAACGAAGGGATAAGAAATGGGACTGAATCTTGAGGCCTGTGTGTCAATTTCGCCTGTTTTGTGAGAATAAAAATAACAATTCTACAGTCTGTCGCCCCACGACCCACTCACTAGTGGTAGTACTAACTGGGTGATTTACTTTAACTGTGAATATGATAGTTATGAGATAGTAAAAGACAGATGATTTAAAGAAAAGCTGACATAATGGAATTTCGCGCCGTAGACGCGAAAAAATTTCTGATATATTTAATTTTTGGGGACTGGGCCTGAGGGGACTTTTTCTCAATTGGGCGCTTACTTTGTCTCTGAAATGCCATTTCCTTGTCTTTGGGGGGAGATTTTGCAGAATTCTGATGGTCAGAAAACACCTACAACATGAGTAAAATACGTTTCAATCTCTCCCAGGACTGAATATGCAACAAGTAAAAATTCTTAAGTGCAATAGATAGCCTTAACGTTTAATAATTTTAAGACTTTTTACGTATGTCTGAAACAAACCATGCTTCCGATGACGTCTTACCAACTGTTCGACTAATAATATTCGTATGACAATCAAGAATATATTTTGAAATATCAAAATCTTCGTAACAAGCTCTTTCAATTTCTTAGACCAACATACCCATAACAGGGATTTTTGTTTTCAAACATGACAAGTTGACTAGGTTATTTTATACTATACCGTTGCAATTTAGGTGCACGGATTCACACAAAATTATTCCCTTCTATTTTTGGAATTGTTTGTTTACCTCATTAATTAATTGAGTCTGAGACCGACTGCACTTGGCACTTATTTTGAGACCGACCTTTTTTCCGAGAGGGGTGGGGGTAGCTTAGACCTACATAACTCACAACAGAATGAGAGTGAAAAACATTTTTTCAAACATGAAAAGCTGACAAGGTTATTTTATACTAAAGTTTTGCGTGACGAATGCAATATGTGCACGGATTCACACAAATACATATATTAAGTATTTGGAATTTTTACCTTCTATTCAGGCATTGTTTGTTTACCTTATTAATTCATTAATTAAGTCGCCGATGCATAATTTTGAGACCGACTGCAGTGACTGCCCTCATTTTGAGACCGACTATTTTTCGCCCTGTGGGAATTTTTTTTTCTTAGAACAACATAACAGATTCAAACAGAATAAGAGTTATTTTATACTAATGTTTTGCATGAGTAGAGTGACGTATGTAGTGAGCACTTATTTTGAGACCGACTTAAACCACAACTGTTTAATATTATGTAATACGAATCATTTAGATCCAATCAACTTTTTTTGAACAATTCTGAATAAGTTCCACCCAAGCAATATACCTTCTAAAATAGGTTGAAATACATAATATGTCGAGAAGAGTTCAAGTTTGCTCTTTTACCATGTCTCGGTCCCATCCCCATGTTGTAGTTCCACCCAAACAGCATAATAACCAAATTCGGGTGAAATTCATTAATGCGCTTGAAATCCATTAATTCGTTTGTAATCCATTAATTCATCAATTGGTTGTGGAGAAAACAGAATATCTGAAGCTGCGTTCACACCGCATGCGCATTCGGTGCGAATTCCGGAGATCGGCCTTCGGAATTCGGATTGGTTTGTCGAGGATTAAAAGCGGTGCGTCAAATTACAACTTATTCGGATTGAATTCAAAACGAAATGCGCCACACTGAATGCACAGTGAATGTCATTCCTATCCAAGATGGATGCGCCAAACATTCGTATTGGTGATCTTATGTTGCTTATGTTTAATTTCCTGAGGCAAGCAAGGCTACATCAGCGACGACGGGTCTTACATCTTCGGCACCTTGCTATGCGGACGATTACTCGTTTGGTTACGTTTGCTATACATCAACATATAGGTACATGCACTTCTCCCTCGACTCTGTACTAGCGAAGATACATTTCATAATTGAAATGTAATGAAATGAAATGGGGTCTAACTTCCTACTGTTTTGCCCCGACTAGGCCATTTTCCCAAGAGAGCGATGTTACGGCCTACTCTTATATCGAATTCCAACTATCAAAGGATCTTTTACGTCTGCACCAATGTGTACATGGGCACTCTGTTTTCGTCCCATGTGATCGACTAGACAGTTGTCCTTGTCAGGCCCTCCGCTCCGCAACACTGACATGGGGAACCCACGCCGGAAATCACGATGGACGTTTTCGGTCATCACCAGGAGCGAACCCTCGATCTCCAAACTAGGCAGCCAGCTTCTTATTCAGTGAACCGTCGTGGCTCCCATTTCATAATTCAAATCAGTTCAGCACTAAGCATACATAATTTAAAGCAATATATTTTGTTGTCATTCAGCTATATACAATACATGCTAGTGTCTAGACTCGAGACGACTTGAGCTAGCCCGTCCTACCCCCAATGTCTAGACCGTGAATGGTCAGACGTGATCTGAAGATACCAATCTTTGTAATTGAGATTTTTATATGTCCATCATGAAATGTGCTCGTATATTATCGTCGCCCCCGTCCGACGCTCCGGAGGCTAATGTCAATATCTGGTTGATATTAGTATAGGGCAGAACTCTAATCAGAACTCAGTGTGTTGTAAATGTTTGCATTACTGACAAAAGGACAAGTATGCGACAACCCTTGTTGACTGCTGTGAGGCGGGCGTATGTTTCGTGGCTGGACAGCCTATCTTTAGCTGGTTATGTTACCGCAGTATTTGTTTCAGCGAGGAAGGGCTACAGCCATGTAGGCTACACCCCAACTGATTTCTGTTTGTATCTTTAATGATTAACTGTACGATAAACCACCTCTGCCTTATAAATACTTTCGTGGGAATGTATCTGTAATGATTAATTATACAATAAACCACCTCTGCGGCATGGTCATGAAAAACAACTTGTCTGCTGAAATGTTAAGGACAACGCCAGTATCATCATTATCACCACCATCATCATCGTCATGTACATCTCCAGGTTGGGATTCGTCCTCCTGTGTCTGTGGTTGTGCCTGCACCATCGCCTAGTCGCCAATACCTGTCCGATATAACCCACTCTGCATCATCTGATATTTTCCGCCCAGAGGTGCCAAATTTATTTAGACTTTTTCTTTTTTAGCCCAATCCTGTTTCATGGTTTTAAGCTTATTTCTACACTGATCGACCGCCCTCTTGTAGCCCTGGGCTGATAAAAGATCAGCCAGCCGCCGTCTATATACAGACTGGTTGCGATGGGAGGCCTGCAGCTGTACCCCCACATCGTTATCTCTCCAAAGTTGGAAAAGGGGAATCCTCCCTTCCTTAGCCCAAACTTAACTTCGGTTATTTGCCATAGCACCAGTTTCATAAATACACGATTTCCCGCGATAAGACGAAAGTAGAAATGAGGATGCGCGTAAAGTTATTATTTCCGGTAAAACCGTTGATCTGAATCAAGCGTGCCACACTCAAATCTTGACTGCGAATAACCCGATTCAGAATAATTGTTCCGGGTTGAATTCGGAAAAATATACGGATTCGTTAATTCAGATTCAGTTCGTTTTTTTTGCGAATTTAGTGTGACGCCAAAATCCGGAATAAGACTTTATTCTGAATTCAATTCAGATTAAACCCCTAGTGTGAACGCAGCTTGATCAACTTCAACAAATCTGAATAAGCACCAGCCATATATCTACCAAATTATATTTTAATCGTAATAATTATTCGAAGTTTTGAAATTAATTAAATTATCACATGTATTTGATATATAGAGAATCTCCTATGAGTCGTTTTTGATATTCAAAACTATCAACACAGGTCGATAAAGTAAAAAAAGAAGGCTCTACCGAGATTTTTTTTATCACTCAATCCCTTTTTACATGCACAAATAAATAAATATAATTCTTTGCTATAGATTTCACCATTACTGAACCTGATTACATTACAGCGTAGTGATACATCATTTTTTGACAGCAATTCAACCAACGCAAAGTCCTTTATATCGCAGTAGATTATGAAATTTATTACACAAGCAATATCTATTGTAGAATGTATTATTGGGTGATAAAATATATATTCCACACCCAGTGAAACATTAAATTATTCAAAATTGGCATGACGATAAAATATCCCAAATAACTTGTCTTTATTCCACATAATCCTATTCTGAACATAATGCACATTCCAAAGCACCTTAAAATATCAAGATTATTTTAAATAGTAAATTATACTCCAGTTGTCTTGATTATTCGAGACCGGATAATCACGAAACAAGTGGTTAAAGACATGATGATCGAATGTAATAACTAGATAATCGCGGCTAAATTGTGTCACGATTGTTGATATTTTGTGTAGAAACTTCCTTGTTTCCGAAGTAATAGGGTGAATTATTTGAAGAGGGAGTGAAGACGGTGAGTACTGGCTATGGATATTTCTATTTATGACAATTAATAACATTTTAAATTTTAGAATCGGTGAACGTCTATAACGTTGTTAACTTTATGTCATCTCGCATGGCACACCTCTCTACGTATGAGATATATCTATAATGTATATCTGTCGCTTTGACCTGGTTAAATAAGTGTATAACAGTATGGTAGCCCACACTTACAATACTACTGGTCGGGTTGTAATATGTTGAAGTTATTTTCCATATAATGTACTAGAGTTATATACATCTCATAGCAAATCAAAAGTTTATTGTGTAATTTAGATTTATCACCCGTTTCATATGTTGGTTATTAAATAGCTACTTATCCATTGAGTATTCCCCCTCTTTTACCTTGAGATACGACCAGGAATTGTTTGCTTAATGCGAAGACGAACGAAAACTTCGTCCCGTGCTCAATGAACAGTTATTGTGGTTTAGATCGTATGTGTCATCCGAGAATTATCAGTTACTATATAGATTATAGCGGTAAGATATATTCTGTCGACCCAAAGGCAAACTTGAAGGCAAGTTTATAAAATTAACTTGTTGTCTCAAAATACTAATCGATAATATATATAAAGATTTAGTACAGACTATTTATTTATTTTACCTTGATCACTCGTAGAATATTGTGAACGCTTACGATATAGTGTAGTGATCATAATATCGAATGTCAACAATTAAGATAGCTACATTTAGAGTTATGGCCCTTGCTCAAATTGTTGTTGAATTTAGAACGACCACACGACGACAGTTAAGATCCCAGCTGCTTGATATTTATATTCACAGTTTCTATTAGAGAAACGAAAAAGCTTACCGACTTTTAACCGTTTTCATTAATTACCTCTTGGGTTATGGCCCATGCTCACGCTTTAAAATCAAAAGTCACAATCTGACTAGCGACGAATACAATGCTGTATGATAATTATGCTTGTTACATTTTTGTCACCAAGGACATTTTAGATATAACACGAACTCGTGACACTATGTCAATTTTGTATTAAATTATTTTGGTATAATTATAGAAAGGTATTTAGCATTTGTTTACGTTTATGGATTTTTAGGAAAAGATACAAAAATTAAACTGGTAAAATAATAATTAAATTTGAGTATTAAAGTGTACAGAAATCATACACTTACTGAAAATATTATTGAAACTACAGGAAAACTATATTTCTTATGAGAAACAAGTAATATATTAGCCAGTCTTCTATTTCATTGAAAACCCACAAGACGGTGAATAAGTCAGTCTTGCAGAACAAGTACTGTAATCGCTCAGAATAACCGTGGAGTTTGGGTGTATATTTAGAAATATTTTTACTGTCGGATAGAATAAGGTTTTGATCCAAATAGACCAGCTAATTATGTTTAAAGGAACTGTCTTTAAAATGAGCTTAGTGAATAAACAAGGTACGCTTCTTTAATTTTATTGTCTTCTTAGAAATAAGGAGTGGATGTAATACTTGACATTGTTATACATGCATGTAAAGTGTCGGTTGTATTATTTCCTTATATAGGCAAAACCATAATATATCATTATATCAATAAAGTTGCGTAATGTTATGATATTAAGTACATTCTCAATTTTTCGGGAAATGGACATTATCTAGATTATATTGTGAAACAGATTTACAGGCTATAGTATTAGTAAAATAAACGTAGACATTTAATTGAATGTGATGGGCGATGGGTCAATATACTGATAAAATTTAAATGTAAAAGTTTCGAAGAAATCAGGGGATTAATAAAATGTGTTCGTCTGCCTTCCCGTCTGTCTTTTCATCACACCTTATTTAGCTCAACAACTGTGCTTCTACGTGGGGTAGGTGTTTATTATTGCATCCCAACAATATCGTTAATTACTTCTAGATTTGCGACCTTTCTTCTCGTAGTGCGATCTTGAAATTTATATGCATTATTCATCAAATAAAGAAGAAAAGGGTAGTCCACTGAATCTAACAAATATCCGTTAATTACTGGTTACGGTTCCTGTTCACTTCGTAATATCTTGTGAATCTCACGACAGAAGTTGTCATCAGATCTGCTTAAAATGTTTTTGCTTAGTTCAGAAAAGTAACACGAACAACCCGATCAAAGTTGAACAATTTCGATTAATTAAAGGTACCATTACGGTTCTAGCTCATCGTCTAGAAACTCGTGAATCCTTTAATCACAAAAGCCACCACATCTCCTTTGTTTCAATTATTGCTATGAATAAAGATTATTTTGTAAACAAAATATTGCCAACTGTAAGTAAATGATATACATCCAGTAGGCTCCTTAAAGGAGCTAACCCTCTAACTCAATAGTTTCCATAATATTCAAAATTTTGTAATGAAGTGCCATTTTGAAATGAACAAATAAAAATATATGGAAATAATTAGTAAAGGCTGATTCACAAACGACAAAATAATAATTTTAAAAAACATGGAGAATGCACTATAAGCAGGCATAAACGACTGCCGTTTAATTTGAGCTGTTCACGTATTTCACCGAACTTACATGTAATTGATTGAAAATTACAATATTGTTTTCAAATAATGAATGTAAATCACTTTGCATACATTCATATTACATTAATATGTGTTTTTAGAACCAATTTTGACTATTTCAAGGTTCCAAAAATAAAGCCATACGACCTTTAAATGACGTTTATGTTAAAGTTATTGGGAACACTGGCTATGGCCCAATCGTAAGTGCAGGGAGACTGCACCTCACACAATTACGCAAAAGAAATCCACGGACAATACACAATACACAGAAATCTCAAAACAAACGTACATATCAGATTAAGTGAATGGATCCGGGTGCTAGCCGTAAGCGTTCACTGCGTTGTACAGCCCCGGTCCTGTAGTGATACAGACTTCTCTCAAAAATGAAAACTAACAATAAGGAGGAATATATCCCAAAAACATTGTGTAATACTAGTACTAGTCACGATCTGCTATATGCCATACGAAATATGAATGTAAGCATATTGGAGGAAAAAATTACCTATACAAGGAACCATATCGGTGAAATGTATAAAAAAGCCAGGTAGCCTACGAGTCACGATCTGCTATATGCCATACGAAATATGAATGTAAGCATATTGGAGGAAAAAATTACCTATACAAGGAACCATATCGGTGAAATGTATAAAAAAGCCAGGTAGCCTACAACTAAATGGTCTATCTTACAGTAGTAAACCTAATATATTTTGCAAAAAAATATCATTTCTTTATAACATACACTTTTCGTCATTTTCAGAAATCTCAACGTTAACAGCGAACAAAACTCAAAATGGAGGAAGAAAGCGGCGAACATTCACTAACAAGACGTCAACAGGCTGCTCACTTGTGCACATTAAACTTTTCATTAAGAACACGATTTAGCTTATATTTGAACCCAGAGAGTACGAGCGAAAGCGATACTGGAATTGTTGGTGACTATCGTGGTTTAGCAGAATTGGTTGGTTTTGAATACATTGAGATTAAAAACTTCGCTTTAAAGAAAAATCCTACCTTGGAACTCTTAGACGAATGGACAGGAAGGGCTGATCTAGAACCAACCGTCGGTAAACTAGTTGAATATTTGACAAAAATGGAAAGAAAGGATATACTGTCGGATTTATATGCTCGTATAGGTAAGAACAAATTTGTCTTGCTAGTATGTTACGCTAGGATTATGTAACAATGGCTATACCAGGAAGTAAACCCCTAAAATGGGCATTATTTAAGAATTACACACAGAGCTGGCCGTTCTTGCTATAATAGTTCAATGGTGAATTCAATCAACGGACTTGTCAGCTCCCCTCCGGACCCATGTGCTATTATTTAATAGCTTTATATACAGAATACATACGCCCTCTACCTGTTCGGTATGGCATATCATAACATATAATATATCTATATTATGTATAATTTACATTGGTCAATAGATTTTATGATCTCTTAATTAACCACATCTATTATGGCTTTGTCACAATTTACACCGATTTTATATAAATAATCCAGTCAAATATGAATTGTTTATTTTCAATTACAAACGGCAAGACCACCATTGTACATTATGAAACATTGTTTGGATTTGTTTGCACTAGGTTCTTTTTTTATTTTTAGTTGAAAGTATAGAACATTATGAAAAAAGAAAAGCCCATTTACAAGCATCGCCATTACAAGACCAAACAGGTAATTAATATAATGAATAAATCTACTGCCAGGTATAAGGCAAGGTTCCTGAACAGTGTATCTAAAAATTCCTGAATTATTATTTTAACTAACAAATATGTTTCCACAAAAACAGTCTAATTTAGCTTCAAAGATTGCAACAGCTACCGTCACATCCATGCCATTTACCATTTACCACAAATACTGCATGGAAAGTTCCCCTTGACGTGATGTAATCCACAGAATACAACAATATTATCAAGTTCAATGAGTCTTTTTAATTACCATCAAATACAATAATTATAGTCAACAAATGGTTGTACAGCATACAAGCGTACATACAGAGTGGAGCGAAGTAGGTGGACGAAAATTACGTTGTGGTGCGTCACTTGCGTGCGTTTCAATCTGAAAACAAAATGAAGTACAATATAACAACTACAATAAACTACTATACACAACATTAAACATTTAAAATGATTTATGGTTGATTGGCAATAATTAACTTATGTCCATAAACAATGACAATAAAATAAATCGAAGCACGGTTACTTTAAACTTAGACTAGTGTAGTGCCGTACTAGGCAAATGCGAGTGACATTTTGAACAATATAATAAATATAAATACATCGTTAGTTTAAGTCATAGATCCGTTATAACATTAGGCTAAATCTTACCATATGATGCCGAATTAAAATTAGTTTTATTTTATTTCCCGAAGGTGAAATAAAGTTGCCTCGTGCAGGGAATTTTCTTACACACGTGGATTCTAGAAGTTTTCCCAAGACATCCTTTTCTAGTAAGCTGATCGATAGCGCAGTCGCTGATTGGATAAAAGACCGATGACTAATCTATACAATATAACTACAAATAATTAAAGTGACAAAGTGAAAACGAATCGGTTTATTTATTTGCCGACCATAACAGTGGGTTTACCTGTTGCTTTAGTTTTATCAACCGCAACACGGTTACAAATGAAAACTAATTGGACCAGTTTTTAAAACCGAACCCATATGTTGTTTGAAAGCTATGTCCATTTTCACCCTGTTTCAATACTGTTTGGGGGTTGGGTGGCTGAATGGTTAGCGTGCGCGCGCTGTATCATAAAGGCTGTCATTGAGTCGACTTGCGTGGTTTCGAATCCCCGGCTGTACGTGGCAAGGAGTAGGGTCGCCTGTCCAACCTCGTGGGTTTTCTCCGGGTCCTCCGGTTTCCCCCCACTGCTAAAGACCCCTAATTATTGAAATAAAATTAAACCATATGTTAGTCCCGAAATGACCTAGTTTGTGTCGAGTGGACGTTAAACTCCATTTCTCTCTCTCTCAATACTGTTTTTTTTATTTGTCGGTTACTCATTTATGTATATTTGTTGCATCGTACAATTCTTAAGTAAATTGCATTATTATATTTATACAGTTTCTGATTATGGAACGGACGTTTGTATTTAAATAACCTTTGTCCAATCCATTTGTATACAAACTAGATTTTGCTGAGACAGTAATGGCGTAGTTTACATTGAGCGCTAACAACAAAGAATAAAATTTGAATAAAGTTTATATGACTAGCCATTTTTTTATTTGGATTTTAAAAAATGCCAATTTTAAGCCAGAATAAAGGCCAAAATGAGTTTAAGAAGTTGCACTTATATTAAAAGCAGTTCTGATCCAAACATTATTCTAATTGACCAATTCTAACATTTGGCTGTCTTTTTTTTACAAGCCAGTCCATGTTTTATAGTCGGTAGTACCCAATTACTTAATAAAACAACATTTTGTTTCGTATTTTTTTAAAAATAGTACATATTATACTTCTAATGATACGTGTGAACGATCTGTGCTGTTGGGGATTTAATTAAATTTGATTTGTTACTTAGTTTTGGAAGTGGGGATATGTCTATGGATGCGTCGATCGAAAAGTTTAATCATCAGGTTAAGCCCAATTCAGTACTTTATTGGGAGACTATTTATAATTTTGTTTTCGTTTAATCTTAAATAATCAATCTATCTACATTTTTGTATGGATTAAGCCGTGAAAAATTAGATAATGCAAATGGCGATCAGCGGGTTTGATAAACAAAAAAGATAGTTTTAGAGCACCATAGAGTTCCACACAATAATGTTTTTATTACCATACACCCATGACAATGAACATGTTTGAATGATTTACATTAAAAGTCAAATAATAGATATCTACAACTAATCATGATTATTTTTATTATTTTCAGTTTCCCAGAGTACATTTAATGATCATGGTGTCGACGAAACGCGAATTATGACAACAGACGATGGTAAGAGGCTTAATCTAGTAAACCCTTGTGAAAACATTCCATTAACACAAGGATAACGCTGTACAGATGTAGCTAGCGTGGTGCCAAAGGATCACATATATTTTACTTTGTCTATTAAGGCTGTATGTCTTCTCATGAAATATATATCTGAGGGTTATTATTTTAAACGTTTTCTATATGTCTTAATGTGCAGGTCTCCTACATTGTCGTATACACTAGAAAAATTAATTATGAAGCACCCTCTTTATATTTTACAAATACTGGTTATGAGACTCTAATAACATAACTATGGATAAACGAGTTTGCAAGACATTTCTGACAACAAGAAGAGTAAAATAGTTTTGACAAAGTCAGGGGCGCTGTCGGGAACATAATTTCAGATCAGGATTGTCATCTTTAGTCAATGACACCATCCCCAGTAAGTAGTTAATTGTCATCTCAAAACTTATCCCATTGCCCAAGTTAAGAAATGGGACACCATATGCAAACACTGTTGCCCCCCTCCCCCGCCCCTCCCCCTAAGAGACACAGTTTCCCATTATTACAAAACTTATTTTGATTTACTTTGCAGTGGAAAAAGGTTCTCCTCAGTACTACGATGCATTTGTCTGTTATAATCCCGAGGGTTCAGACTTAAAGTTTGTAAAAGATATGCTTAAAATTTTAGAAAATTCGCCATATAATTTAAAATTATTTGTACCTGGACGAAACGACTTACCGGGTGGATCAGCCCATACCATTAATGCAAGTCTGATAGAAAACAGGTATGTTCTTGAAATGTCATATAACGTCCACAATTCCGATTTATAAAGAGAATATATAATAACACTGTTTTTGTGTTTTATTTATTAGATATTCACAATTTGTAGATCTCTCTTGTGGTGAATATTTTAAATTTACAAAAGGCTGCAATGTCATTAATGGATTAGATATATTTTCGGACCTTACAAATACCAATATTCCATTAATAGCCACCCTTTCACTATAGATGCAGAAGAATGGTGATCATCATGTCTCCGCGTTATCTTCAGAGTCAGGCCTGTGACTTTCAGACGAAGTTTGCATTCTGCTTGTCTCCAGGTGGGTAATAAATAGTTTTTGCGCAACTAGGAAATATATTAAAGATATATTCCTTCTATGACCGAGTGACCTAACAATTACAATTGATTGAAAAGTATTCAATCTACCTAGAAAAAAAATATTTGTTGTAAAAAAACAGTATGTCTTGGGATATATCTGAAGCCACTGCAAATTATGAATGATATAACAGAAGATTTCTTTGGTGACTTTCAGGTTCACGTAGTAAGAAGCTTGTACCTGTTCTTATAGAAGACTGCCAAGTTCCCGCCATTTTACGACATGTAACTATGTGTGATTACACCAAACAAGACTTACAGGAGTGGATTTGGGGACGACTTGTGAATGCTATAAAAGCACCTTTAAATTCTATAGTGTGGGACAAATCGCCAAATACACTTTCTGAAATATCTTTAAACATATCATCGAGTTTTAATGAAATCAATGAAAGTTCTAGTAGCTCCTCTAGCTCCAGCTCGAACACTGCATCATCAAGTAGAAGCTCCTCCTCAGCTCCTAGAAGTCATCCCAGAAGCAGCGCGGCTGCTACTCCATCTTCCTCGTGTTAATTAAGGAGTGATTCGACCGTAGTGTATAGGGCTTCCATTAGTCATAAGTTTGTAATGAATGTTCAAGCTACATTATTTATATACATATTCGCTGTTTAGGTTGGTGGTTGCATTTTGTGATTTCAAACTTGTGTTAAAACCTTAGTTAAGCAAAAGGCTAATAGCCATTCTTTCAACAAAATTAAAGGTCTAAAGGTTTTCTTTACACAGCACCTTCAGCGCAGTAGTCATAACTAGTTGGTATAAGCAATATGAAATTGTATTGTATAAAATTTAGAATAGCAAACTTTTGTAGCTATAAACACTGAATTGTGGAAACAATTTTTATAGTGATCAAAGTGTCGAAAAGAAAATAATTTTATTTTCATACACTCAAACGTAAATTTGGTAAATTGTCGTTACACCTGCCTTTCGGTCCTTAATTATATAATTCCTTGTGTACGCACTTATGGCTAGAGTTCTCATCTATCCATAATTCACGATTATTACTTTTAGAATTATTTCCCTTTGTCACTTCAACTTATGCAAAATATTTATGCCCTTGTAGAAAGCGGTTGAAGATTTTCAACGATAATTACTTGCAGGCTTATGACAGTTGGAAAATGTTGTGGACGCTGACAAGTAGAAGGTTAAACCCCATATAATGCATTCATTAGCATTCGATGAGACTAAGAATCCGATACATTTTATACCAATACTTAAGAACATAATTATAGTCCTTGGAACAAAATCTTGTGGTTGTCCAACGGCCACATTTTATCATCTGATGTACTTGGAATGTATATACAGTGTTTATATTCATCGGAAGAAGGATCATCTAGATTTTCAACTATTTCCGATTAGCATGTGATTTAAAAGAGTTCTTGATTTTAGCGCCAGAAAGAAACCGACCGAATGGTAACGTTTTACTGTACTTGCATTTTACATTGGTGCATTTTAAATCTTATACTACGCTTTATATCATAAAAATTACATTACGACTTAAGCTTTACGGCTTGAACATACGACTAAATTACAGGGGGCGTATGTTTCGTTACCATGCATCACATCTTTAGACCTGAAAAAATATCTCTATTTCAATATGTAATCTCATACTTTAAATAATTTACATGTGTTATAGGACCATTGTTTATCGCCAAGAATCCAACCTCGTGGGTTTTCTCCGGGTCCTCCGGTTTCCTCCCACTGCTAAAGACCCCTACGCGCAAGCGAATTATGTAAATAAAATTAAACCATATGTTAGTCCCGAAATGACCTAATTTGTGTCGAGTGGACGTTAAACCCCATTTCTCTCTCTCTCTCTCTCTCTTATCGCCAAGAAGCAGATTATTAGATTATTCGTGACATATCATAATTCAATCATATTGTAATTTTTTCATTATTAATTGATTTTAGACATGGATGTATCTTTCTTAGAATAATAAATAGAAGTCTTTATAGATATTTGTATACGATAAAACTATCAATAAATCTATGAGATAATACTTTTTGTAGAGAATTCGCTGTATGCATTGTAAATAAAGTTTTTTTTCCTAAAGTATTTCGTTTCTTTTATATATTTATTTTGAACAAATAATTCACTTCAGTAAAAGTAAAGCTTTTTCATCTCTTTTTTATGGATACTAACTCTACAGGTCACAATTTTTATCCAAGGTTATATCACTATAACCGTTAAGGTTATATATGAGGTCGAATTCTTTGACAGTCGTACCGAGACTTCCAGTTAAAATGTCCCTTTACCAAAAAAGTGACAAAGTATGTAATATAAATATCAAGGTTTTGAACCCTCGATTTATATGAAACTTTAAATATGTGTTAAGCATGAAAAGATCTTAATGTGTTTGATTTTGGTGTACAACGGACTTTCCATTCTGGAGTTATGCTCCCTGTATTTTACGCAAAATGTGAAATACGTAAGAGTTTTTGGAGTTATGTCCCCTTTCTTTAAATCATTTTAGTATGCCAATATTATGGTTGGATGGGTGCATGGAAGTAGAATCCTCACCTTTATAGACGCACTATAGTACTTACTATCCTTTAGGCTGTTAGAGTAACTAGGCATGCCTCACTCTAGAAAGAGGCATGTTTTGTTCCATCGGAGACGTTAATGTATAATGTGCGAAACAATCTCTTGCCATAATATATTTTTGATCATTTAGAACCCTCCACTACTCCTATTATTTACTCACTTCGAAAGAGGGAGCCACGGTGGTTCAGAGAGTAAGGCAATTTTCTCTTGACAGTGGTGCAGGACAGAAATTAATATGTTCGGATAGTACAGGAGTACACGTTAATGAACCCCTGGCCGTTGCGACCTGAAGGAAGGTAGACGGAACCGTTGCTGCCAGGGCACAATTTCCCTCTCATCACTATCCGTACTAATACGAAATGTCTTCAAGTAATAATCATAAAAATTTAGATTATCGACATAATATGAATGTTTTCTTCTTTTTCGAAACTGCCACAAAACCCTATAATGTCGTGTATAGTCTATCCGGATCCACACAATGTATCTGCCTAATGTGGTTGAAATCGGCCAAGAGAGAAGGAGCCAGAAATGTATATGGTGCATCAGTTCATTTGAACAGTACAATAGTTAAAAAATATCAATGGTTTGGTGGGGTGACGTATAAAAACAAGTCGCGGCTCCTAAATTTGTTTATTTCAGAACTGGTCCAGTACAGTAAATTTTAAGAAATATGCTAAACTTTTATTTTCATGATTATTAACACCCTCTGTCATGCTTACTCCATGAACATCTGATTTGTTTGGGGCTTTTTTAAAAAAAAATTTGGTATTACCTATTTCTTGCGAAATATACCAATAGCATTAAATAAAACAGGCCGAATGCAGCTGTGTCTTGTTCATTTGATGATTCAAACATGGTATATAAATATATCCATATAAATTTGGGATGGAGGGTGGCTAAAATCAAAAATAATGTTTTAACAATTTATTTTTGGAAGAACACAGGCAAATAAATGGACAAATTAAATGATAACCGGTCGGTTCAAGTTTGTTTTCAATTCATTCCACTGTTATAAAATGTATATATCCCTGATAAAGAATATTGATTACCAGCCGTGGGCTGATATCAGACGTTGTGCACGAGCCATGACGTCATTACTGTAGTCATTTCCGGTTGTACCAATGTCCATACGAGCTACAGTAGCTACGTTACCAACTCCAGCATTGTAAGCAGAAACACCACCTACACGAGAAACATTTCCAAAAGAATGGAATACCACTATGCATACGGACAATTCATTTATGAGATAAGATGTAACAAAATGAACTGGAAACAGATATAATGAGACACCATGTAAGGAAGTTGTTAATAATTGACAGTTTTGACTCCCAACAGACAATTTGTGTAATGCATGTAATATCACTACTATGCATAGTATACTCTTAAAAAAAAGTAGGGGGTATTCAAAAATAAACTGCGGAAATGCACTGCTGTTTTTATTAGAGGTAACCAGTGTATGTTAATAACAGGCCAATTGCCCACACATGAACATAAACAGTTCATATGGGCGGCTTATCTGACGGCTCCATTTCACTCGCAAAGAGATACACTGTCAAAAGTGAAAATGGACGTTTTTGATTTTTGTCTTAATAATGAGTAATTGCTCCACCAATCCTCAGACATTCAGCAATTCGTCGTGGCATGCTCCTAATCAACCGTCCAATAACAATTTGGGGCAATCTGACCCACTGCTCTTGCTGTGCCACGGCCAATATCTTGCAGTGTTGTCGGTTGACGTTGACGTCGATGAACACGTCTCCCGATCATGTCCCAGATATGCCCTATAGGGGAAAGTTCGGGACTCATGGCTGGCCAAGGCATATGGACAATATGGTGACGCTGAGGTAGTCATTAACGACACAAGCGCGGCGGGCACGGGTATTATCATCTTAAAAGATGAAACGCCGACCTGCACGTTGAGCAAAGGGCAGAACTATCAGTGCCAGGATGTGATCACGGTAGTACACACCAGTGACCCTTCCTTGGAAAATATGCATAACAAACCCACGCCCGAATCTATCCTGCTGTCTAATGTTAACGCTGGCATGCCGCTCATTTACACGCCTCCAAACGTGAGCACGCCTATCGGTGAAATCCAGAGTAAATCTGGACTCATCTGAGAACATTACACGCGCCCATCGACGATTACCCCAATTTCTACGCTGCCTACACCATTGATGCTGACGAGTTAATAGAGGCACAACACGTGGTCGTCGCGCATGCAAATGGGCTGCATGTAGCCGATTTCTAATCGTTCGGGGTGTAACTCGAATTCCTTGGTACAAGTTTACAGAAAGCTGATTGACCGTTTGTCCTCGATTTCGCAGGACCTGTGTACGAATGTATCGATACTGGGCTTGTGTAATTGCTTTAGGACGACCTGAACGAGGTCTATCATCGGCATTGTGTGTTTGTTGGTACCGGTTCCACAGTCTGCTGATCACAGACTGTGACGCATGACCACCCCCCCCACGTGTATGGCGCTATTGCATGTCGCATGTGCAGTTCAGTGGTTCTGTTGGGGCGATAAGTTCTTCATCTGTGAACACACTCTCAAAGCATGTCAAGGGTCCATGACTATTTATCATATCACAACCTGCATAGGTATTTGCATCTGAATATCCCCTACTTTTTTGAAGAGTATATGTGCAGTGCAGACAACCCCAAATTCTTACAGCAGGGGAGGTTGGGTTGGCCGAATGGTTAGCGCGTGCGCGATGTATCATAATGTTTGTCATAAAGTGTGGTTTCGATTCGCCGGTTGTACGTGACAAGGAGAAGGGTCGCCTGTCAAGCCTCATGGGTCTTCTCCCGGCCCTCCGTTTTCTCACACTGCTAAAGACCCCATCGTGCAAGCGAATTATAGAAATAAAATTGAACCATATATTAGTCCCGAAATGACCTAGTCTGTGTCTCTCTCTAGTCTGGACAATATAGTACCCATTGTGTGTATTGTGATTGGCTTTCCGAGTTAACAATCCATATTATCGATATATATATAACACAAAATTGTCTGCGACATCACTCAGGTGGAAGCGGACGTTCAATAAAGTTATTTCACACACAATCCATTCTGCATATTTCAAATACAGGGTGGAAGTCATATTTCCTCAAACCTACCATAATACACCACATGAAAATGTGTACAAATTTAACGCTGGTTTATCCAGATTAAATTCGTTATAGTCGGAAAGGCAAATATAGGCTGTAACTTTGGAAACCATTTTCGAATAAAACATATTATCACACATAGAAAGTCTAAAGTATCAATTATACCTTGCATTTGTTGTTCAGCTGACCAAGTCGGGTGTTTACTTCGAACTTGTTTAATATATGGTACCAAAATAACACGCGTCATCATGTCAATGTGTGCACAACTGTCCCAACCATATTTTGTACATTGAGAACCAAGTCCAGATGCATGCAAATCACACTGAAATAAACGTCAACATCATTGACTCTTTATACATCTATATGTATTTTAAATCCTCCTGGACATCCTGTTAATTTACAACATAATCAAAATTACCTTCTATCTTATAACTGGAATATGGAACTACATGAAGTTCACTAACACACACATAATAAATTGCCCTAAGCTTATTTATATGTGACGGAAAGGGTCTAAAACCTCATTAAAATTATCAAAAAGGTGATTTTAGATGACAAAATCATATACTAAATTCGGTTGACAGAACAATCCGTCGACAACAACAATATACCTATTTCGAAACGATATTCCTTTAGAGATAAGTGTATACAAAGTCATATATAAGTATTCTAGGTAACATGATACAAACCTGCATTATGCCCCAGGCTCTGTGGTTATCACCCCAGCCACCCGTGCTATACAAGAGTTTACCGCCACGAGTTTCTCTACTGGCAACAGCAGCAATAACAGCTGGGTGAAGACCTGCATACAAAAAAAATTCATACAATACCATTTATTGGTGATCTCTTATTCCTACCCTAGAAGTTGTTTTACTATTTGCTAGTATTAAACACATCTAATTGTTTTTGGATTTTAGCATTTTGTCAAAACGGTTTCTATTGAAGGATAATATATACTCTTCAAAAAAAGTAGGGGATATTCAGAAAAATTACAAAACTGCGGAAATGCACTGCTGTTTTTATTAGAGGTAACCAGTGTATGTTAGGCCAATTGCCTACACATGAACATAAACAGTTCATATGGGCGGCTTATCTGACGGCCCCAATTTCACTCGCTCCACTGATCACGTGGCTAAGTCGCTGGCTCCTAGTCTGGAGGTCGGGAGTTCGATCCCTGCATTGGCCGAGAAAGTTCATCCAGATTTTCCGGCGTGGTTTCCCCTTGTCAGTGATACAGGACGGAGGGCCTGACAAGGACAGCTGTCTAGTCGTTCGGATGGTACGAAAAACCGAGGTCCCGTGTATACATTGGAATGCACGTAAAAGATCCCTTGGCAGTTGGAATTCGATATAAGAGTAGGCCGTAGCGCCGCTACCCGCGCAAAATTTCCCTCATAGCACACTGTATGGCGTATGCCCGTCTTCATTCGCCCAGCATAGGAGCAGAACAGTAGGACGTTAAACCCCATTTCAATTCATTTCCGATCCTTAGACATTCAGCAATTCGTGGTGGCATGCTCCTAACCAACCGTCCAATCACGATTTGGGGCAATCTGACCCACCCCTCTTGCAGTGCCACGGCCAATTCTTGCAGTGTTGTCGGTTGACGTTGACTTCGACGAACACGTCTCCCGATCAAATTAAACGTAACACACTAAAGCAAAGATACGTTAAACATTAAATCATATGCAAAAACCGATAGGAAAGCAAACATTGATAGGATAAACCAGCAAGTGACAGTTTTCATCAACCCTTCCTTGAAGTGTCAAATTTGACAATGAACCCCTCCCACGTGTATGGCGCTATTGCGTGTCACACATGCAGCTCAGTGGTTCTGTTGGGGCGATAAGTTCTTCATCTGTGAATATACTCTCAAAGCATATCAAGTGTCCATGACTATTTATCATATCACAACCTGCACAGGTATTTGCATTTCAATATCCTCTACTTTTTTGAAGAGTATATTTCTTGTAGTTAATCGATGGGTATATAATAGGACTGCAACTGTCGATTAAACATAATATCTGTAAAGTTGCGCCATACGTAAATAGTCATTAGAAATTGAAAGACACTTACAGTTGTTTTTTCCAGCCTGTACATAGCACGATTTTCTTTTGTTCAACTCTGCTAAATCATTATCAACCATTTTATAAGATGCCTGGGCACCTGAAAAGATTTAATTTCGATAATGAACGAATATTTATATTGTAAGATATTAAATGAAAACAATATGCAAAAACCTAATTTCAAAGCGGTTACAATGATTAATTTGCATAATCACAAGGATACGAAATTAACCAATTATGATTTTTTGTGCTTCTTAACTCATCTGTCATCATGCGATGGGAATTTATACAAAATTTCCAAATGATCTGACGATTTCATCCGATTTTTGTCATAAAAAATACGATGTCTGTTCTACTACTATTTCAAACCAGTCCATGCATCTTGTTAAGAGATATATGTTTGATGTTTCGCGTGGAATAAGGGTTGACCCTATGCACGTAACGAAGGGTGATCTCAATTAACCAGACAAAAATGATCAATTCTGAGCGTTTTACCACTGCCAAGAATTAATTGTGCTATATTTTTGTAGTTGTACTTTTGTCATTTTCCATTTAAATTGCTATTTAAATTTAGTATTCAGACTATTTAAAGGAGCCAAATCGCTAATATTTGGGACCTAGAAATTGGCACAAATGGGTCGCAACACATATAATAATGTAATATGAATTTATATAAACTGTTTTATATTCAATCGTGTCCGTTTTACCGTGAATTGTCATCAGTTATGTTCGGCGAAATACGCCAGAAGTCTCAACTTCTGGTTATTCCAGTCAACACCGATATTATTTATTGCGCATGCTCTCCAAATAAGAACATGATATCCCCGTTTGACATGACTTGTGGAATATGTCTCGCCAGGTAAGATCACAACACCAATGCTGATTTAAATTGCAAAAAAAATCGTGTTTCCAATGTCGAAGATTTTGGATGATATTGAGTTACGGACTTAGCTACTTTAATCAGTGACCGGCGACTCTGCCATTACCCTGTGGTTGCCATGTTCAGCTTCTCAAATCCAATTGCTATAAATGATGATCCATGACACGCAAGAGCAATGTTGCATAAGCACGAGATGAAATATTCAGATACCATAAACATGTAATTACCTCCGTAATTGATGCCATCTTGAGAAGCAGTTCTTGAGCTGGCTCCAGTGGGATGAATGGACATAACATTGCCATAACAATTATACCCAGCACCTGAATATTATACATATTAGATGAATGTCTGTTTTAATGACATTATAGTTGAAAATTATAAACTTGTAAATGGTTTGCCCTAGACTTACATTGTTTATCATATGTGTGTACAGATTACGGTTTGAAATTCACTTTTCCTGAAACACAGTGACCTCCTAACATATGTGACCGTCAACAGATAAACACATTTTGGTAATATATCAAGGCGTGGGAATTGAGAGAGGGTTTCAAATAAATGCGGCCAACATCCAATCGAAACACTACAACTGCGCTCTAGTATAGACATACACGGAAATCGTGGAGTCAGCAGAAATTCCACCAGGTTGGGAAATCGACCTTAATCCTGGAACGGCACCGGCTATTATTTCTAAAGACATCAATGTAATTAACATGCTAATTTGTCATTAACCTACCAAGGACCCAGTCTAACTATGGTTTAAAATAGAGTAACATACTTGATCCGCCACCGCACGTGTTTGAGGAAAAACAGCAGACTTCACTTCCGGAACATAAATTCCCTAATTGCAGTGAATTCGCACAGCACCCACTCTTGACGCAGCCAATACCTTTTGCTCCAGCATGACTTCCGGTCAAAACATGACTGGTGCAGCTGTCACCTTGCACAACATAGAGAAGAAACGACCTAATTATACATATATCCTGATCTGTCCAACAAAAACAATTCTTATAGAATGAATGAATCGTGCTTGATCAATGTACCCAACGTGTCCATGTACAGCGTATTTGTAGTGGCCCACGGCTGCCAAGAGACTACTCTATAGTTTAAATCTATCTATACTAATATTTGTGACTGTCGTTTGTCTGTTTGTCTGTCTGTCTGTATGTTCGGGGTTGGCGGCTACACTAGGTCTGAAATTCGGGGTATAGGGGTAGCTCGGACCGGGGAGTAACATTGGCCAGGTGGCGTAAGTCTACCACTTCAGGTTTCGGAGTTATGACCCCCGAGCAAAGCCGGTCTGTTCGGGGTTGGCGGCTACACTAGGTCTGCCCCGAGTCTGAAATTTGGGGTATAGGGGTAGCTCGGACCGGGGAGTAACATAGGCCAGGTGGCGTTAGTCTACCACTTCCGGTTTCGGAGTTATGACCCCCGAGCGAAGCCGGGTATCCTGCTAGTAATTGATATTTCTCACAATTCCATTATCCCTTTTTCAGAAATTATTTTTTTTTGTTAAGGATTGTGTTGATAGCTGCACACTACTCACCTTGGACTGTAGCTAATGCACCGACAAGAAACACCCACTGTATCATCATTAATGGCAGTGAGGCTAGTACAACACTATTATTATTTCGTGTCTATTATACTGTTCTTTTCACAGGTGACATCTTCACATGTACCAAAGCTTATCTGATTTGATTCATGGGAAATTTAACACTATAAACTTTCCTATTATATTAAGAAAACAAAGTAAAGCGTGTACTATTTTTCCAGTCCTTGGTAATCAATTGCGCTTCCTGGTATTTTCGCACGCACATCAGTCACGGAGGACGTTGCACCCATGATACTATTAAATGAACCGGGCTAATATAGATGGGCATACACCAAGATATCGTAGTGTGCTTTGAGAGAAAGTACGCACGGACATCCACATTTTCATCTACTCTTCATCGAATTTAAACTATAGGGGTCTTCCACGTGAACACCAATGCTTACACGGGACCTCGCTTTGTCGTCCAACCCGAAAGACTAGACCCTGTTCCTTGTCAGGCCCCTACAACACGACCAGGGGGAACCACGCTGGTAAATATCGAGAAACCCAGTGGCTCTCCCATCACCTAGATCGTAAATTCCAAAATGATGAATCTATATCAAAGATGTGCGCTTTAAATGATAAACCATAATTAATATTATCTGACTGCACAATAAATTAAAATTTCCCTCAAAATTACTGTTGGTGTAGTTTTGGCTATTTAACAGGCATACACCAGGATGTTCACACTTGGTGTAAGTGTTCCTTAGGTGACTGTCCTGATTGAACTCGCTGATGAGCATGTTTAGGCTAAAAGTGAGTCTACATAGGGATAACCAAGCAATACATCAAGCAATCAAACAGCCGATATGACATAAGCAGAAAATGCTCATGATCAAAATTAATCAAAGTGAGGATGTAGTGAAAGTGAAACTGTGCACCAAGTTTCAACACGTCTCTCCCAGAATTTGAATCAAAGTTACCGTACCCTACTATCCCAGAATTTGAATCAAACTTACCGTATCCTAAAGCGCGAACCAATCAAATTGCTTATCTTTTCTTGGCCATAGGTGAAAGTATGGCCAAGTGAAAATCGTAACTGAATGTGATGATGGACATTTTATGTTTAGGTTACGCAGCTGCCTATTGTCCGGTGCACCTTTTGGAATACCGTGATCAATTTTATTTGCCGGCACTCAACTTTGGATATTTATTTCTTAGTGATTCCTTTTCTTCTCCACCATTTTATAAATTATATTCGCAGTTTGCTATGGACCTTCAATGTAAATTAAATTCAGTCAACAAAATTGCAAGGGAACACAATTTACATTATGATTCAAAAGCACGTCTTGCAGTTCTACATATGGAAGATATTGTTCAAACAAGAAGTAAAAACGCCAATTTTCGGGGATGGTGGAGGGGTCGTGTAGCAGAGTCGATTTTATTAAACATACATTATGCAAGAGCTAAATCTGCCTATTGCAGGTCTTTCTTTAGGCCTGAAATGTTATCTAAATTATTAGACATTAATTAACTACTCCAGATCACAATTATTTCTCGATGCCAGCGCTAGCGGATTGGAATACATTTTTTGAAAAATAATTAAATAATTAATACATTATGATTCAAAAGCATGTCTTGCAGTTCTACATATGGAAGATATTGTTCAAATAAGAAATAAAAACGTCAATTTTCGGGGATGGTGGAGGGGTCGTGTAGCAGAGTCGATTTTATTAAACATACATTATGCAAGAGCTAAATCTGCCTATTGCAGGTCTTTCTTTAGGCCTGAAATGTTGTCTAATATTAGACACTAGCAGGATACCCGGCTTCGCTCGGGGGTCATAACTCCGAAACCGGAAGTGGTAGACTAACGCCACCTGGCCTATGTTACTCCCCGGTCGGAGCTACCCCTATACCCCAAATTTCAGACTCGGGGCAGACCTAGTGTAGCCGCCAACCCCGAACAGACAGACTTCGCTCGGGGGTCATAACTCCGAAACCGGAAGTGGTAGACTAACGCCACCTGGCCTATGTTACTCCCCGGTCCGAGCTATTCCTATACCCCAAATTTCAGAGTCGGGGCAGACCTTGTGTAGCGGCCAACCCCGAACAGACCGGCTTCGCTCGGGGGTCATAACTCCGAAACCGGAAGTGGTAGACTAACGCCACCTGGCCTATGTTACTCCCCGGTCCGAGCTACCCCTATACCCCAAATTTCAGACTCGGGGCAGACCTAGTGTAGCCGCCAACCCCGAACAGACCGGCTTCGCTCGGTGGTCATAACTCCGAAACCGGAAGTGGTAGACCAACGCCTTCTGGCCTATGTTACTCCCCGGTCCGAGCTACCCCTATACCCCAAATTTCAGACTCGGGGCAGACCTAGTGTAGCCGCCAACCCCGAACAGACAGACAGACAGAAAGACAGAAAGACAGACAGACAAACGACAGTCACACATATATATATTTATTTTATGATCAGTAGTGGAATACCGCGTTTTATCAGTGAAATAAAAGTGTTATTCCACTGGCTAGCAGTAGTGCATGTTGTTTTTACCTAAAATGATTGTAAAATCATAAAATAAATAGAACATTTGTCGTTTTGTCGTGAAAATGTTATTCACTCTAAAACGACAAATATCCTCTATAGATTAATTAACTACTCCAGATCATAATTATTCCTCGATGCCAGCGCTAGCGGATTTGAATACATTTTTTGAAAAATAATTAAACGTAATAATGGAGACTTTGATTTTATCGTACCGACTTTAGTAATGATGACCGAGGCTAGCCTAAACTTCAAAAGCTTATATCTCGGTTCAGAGTGGAGCAATTTGACTGAAATTTTCAGCATATTCTATTTTATAACTATTATAGCGAGAACTTTCAATTTTTTATTTAATCTCCCATAATGCCACTTTAGTGTTTTATAATATTATTGTATATTAAGTGTATAACTTCTGGCGTTGATTTGTGATGGTGTTCTTTTTCCACGCCATACCAAGTAACTTGGAGGCTGGCCAAAATATATTATATTGTCCAGTGTGTGTTACTGTCTGTTCCAGCTAATACTCCGACTCGAAAAATGCTTGCCATGCCTTCATTTTTTAATTACAATGGCTAAACTTTGGGACATACCTGGAATTGTCATCCCTTTGATTTCTTCCCTTAGAATAAATGACTAGAAGTCCGATAAAATCCCGTATTCTCTTGTAAATTTCATATATTTCGACATTGTCACTTTCTCAGAACATAAACATTTCGACTACGCATGCGTTAAATGGGGCACTTGCATTTCGCATTAGTGTAGACAGGTACTTCACAAATTTGGTGCATTCGGTTAGAAATGTCTAGTGAAGGAGAATTCGTCCGTTTGTTTCGCGACAATAATACTTATTAGGTTTTCACACTTTGAAGCTTGTTTGAAACAATATTGTTTTTGTTCAGATTGATATGTTTTTTTCTGTTTCCACCTTGCTTATTTCGCACAAAAATTCTCATTGGACAATTTTGAGTGACTTAAAGATTAAAGCTATTTTGAACAGTCGGTACATGTCATAACCATGCGAACTCTCAGAAATAAGTAATTTGGTGTAAAAAGTTAGCCCTTATTTAAATTTGAATAAGTATGTCGGGTAAAATGATTCCGAATTTTGTTTTCTGGGACTTTATAGCTCTAATTGAGAGAAACGAGCACTTTTTTTTACCTTTTCCGAACACCTTTAGGGGTTAAAATTTAGCTGCTGTTGTAAATAAGCAGAGCAAGACTGAAACCAATTTTCGAATTTGGTTTTCCTGCAATTTAGATTTTAATGCTGAAACACAACTATTTTCAATGGCAGATATAAGTCATATATAAGAGCAAACGAAAACCCATAGATCATTTCAAATTTTTGACATGTCCAGGAAATAATCAATTTTGCGGGAATCACCTTTCAACTTTTTATGCCCATAAAGGAATAAATAGTTGTTTGATTTTCATGAAAAAAAATTGCAACATTCTGTGAATATTCCTTAGATGTAACCAATTGGTCACTGAAAATGACGTCATTCTGGCAAAAATGATATTGTTATGGATGATGTGAGGGATTAGCCATTGAAACGGTCGTTACGGCGAGTTCTTGGGCTTTTGACGTACGGAACTGTGGGTAAACCACTAGAAACGTTAACACTGATTGATTAATCAATGTCTGATGTCATAAGATCAAAAGCCGCGCTGCAGAGGCGGATCCAAGGGGTTGGCCCCTCGTCCCCCCCCAAAAAAAAAACTAAAAAAAAACTCAGCGGCGTGCCCCGTCTCCTCGGACGGTGCCCTCATTTTGCGGCGCCCTCCCCCCTTTTCAAAATTTCTAGATCCGCCCCTGCGTTGTTTACCCCCGATGTGAACTTCCACTATAACTTGTCAGATCTTCAAGT